TATTATCCATAAATAATATTATTAGAAAATTGATAGTGAATTAAACATAGTGAATGAGTTTGAAAAATAACCAAATAAAAAACAGAATAATAAATTTCTAAAATTAGATATGATTGAATAAGAAGTACACCGTGTGACTTTTATGGTTTTCTTAAGGTCATGTGTAGGTGTAGGTAGGAAACGAACAACTCTAGCATATAGAAATTTTACAAAATAGGCTCATAAACAAATATTAGTTTAACAAAATATGCAATAATAAACAGGATATAAAACAAAACGTATTACGCAAAAAGATTATGTTCAAATAAGTAGGAAACATAATGAAATAGTCAAATCATGACAGTTTATTTAGGGAAGAAACATTTTCAATCATTTTTCGTCTTAGCAAAGAGAACTGTAGTTAAGTTGTTTTATTAGCATCTTGGATTCGAAAATGTTATACGTAGTTATTATGGTTGTAGATTTGAGTAGAATGACAGTTTAATGGTTCGACCTTGTACTAGATAGTCTGATGATGAGTTCTAGCTTTTTTTTTTTACAGTGTTTGATATAAAAATGTGTTGGCTTAGACAGGTATTCATTATTATGAGTTGCATTAAAGAAAACATGTGAATATAAACTAATTCTACATTATTTAATGTAGTTGTAATTAGCATATTGAATAAATGGGTAAGAAAATTCATGGTAAATGAACGTTTGTCCTTCTGACCCAGAGAACAACATGAAGGCAGAGACCATGAATAGGAGTATAATTAACTTCAACAAATATAAATATGTGTTTATTGAATTTATTTCGGACATTTAGCAGTACTCAGAGATAGAATTAGAAAGAAAAGATATATATATATATATATATATATATATTTCAGGAGCAAGTTAACTGTAATACAGATTAAGGAAAACATTAGTTGAACTTACCACCTGGAAGGAATTCCATAACTAAATACAGATTAACTGAATCTTGAAATGAATAAAACATTTTCACAACCCAAGGATTATCAGCTTTGACTAGAATATCACGTTCAGCCCTTACATGAGCTACCTAATGATGAAAAAAACATGAAATATCACAGACAGGAGAATAGATTTTGAATTTTTCAATAGTTTGAAACGCGTTACTTTGAACTCAAATAACTGGATTACAAGAAAAATAAAACATGTTTTAAGGGTATTATTTTTGTTTTGGGTCACACAGGATTGAAATTTTTTCCAAAATAATTGATTGATAATTTTTTTCAGAAAAACTAAATGATTATTTCCACAGAACATGATGATTATGTATATACACAAATGGATGGTCCCATATTAGCATAAAATCGCTGTTCAGTGTTGCCTGGTTTTTATTGATCGTTTAACTAAAGTTAGTTCATAATATGAAATTACATATTTAATGATATATTTAATGAGAATCTGTTTCTGCGACCATGTATACCTATAATTTACACTACTAAGAGATGGTATTCCATAAACAGATCAACAGAAATCAACTATGAAAGGAAATCGTATATTTATTTGTATTGGTTGTTTCTTAAATCATCCCATTAGCAAACATGAAATGTGGCGAGCAATGGAATCCAGGACGAGCGTTTCGTCACGTTAATAATGCTTGTAACCTGAAGGCAATATCAAGGTGATCCTCACAGGAAGCATATGTGTCAAAGAGACCAATTAGTTTTAGTTCCAAATATCAATAAAAAGATTTAGACTACTAAAACAAACGATCTAATCTTCACCTATTGAACAAGCGAGTGGCTATCTGGACTCAGTAGCTAAGTGGATGATGCGATGACGTTTGAAGTGAACGGTACTGGGTTCGAGTATCGGGGTAAACATCAACTTTGAGATGTACGTATATTCAACTGACGAGTCCCAAGTACGGAACGTGTATCCTGGATTCTACTGATAGACACTATCCACCTCTGCTAGAATCATTTGTTGATGTTTGATAAATAACGCTTTTAGTTACAGACAGAAATATAGTACTTGGTTACGAGATTTAGTTAAATTAGTTTCATTTAGTGGTCTCTTGTCATGGAATGATATCAATCGGAAAACCGTTAAAAAGTAAAACCAAATATACAAGCAATTTGTACTCATGGATCGAGTAAGGACTGAGGACTTCTAGATATCGCGGCGAGTACGTTATTCTTAGACTAAATGTCTTTCAAAGAAGATTTACATCTGCAACAGACAACCGAACAGACAGAGCACAACCTAAAACGTGTTACCAGTAACGAAATCTTATCATATTTCTTTACAAGTGAAAATAATGGCAGTATTTTATTTAAACAACACAAAATTCATGGTCAAACAGATTCAAAAAGAACGAAAAGAATTCAAGTGAAATCAGACACAACAACTGACTTTTGTACACACATGTAGATGATTATGATGAAAAGAAGTGAATAAAACAACATAGCGGCATCGATAAGCTTAGAAACTTATACGAATAACATGAATACTAATACTAACACTAATATTAATAATAATATCGAATTCAATAATACAAGCACGATAACTTGAAAGTAACTGAAAACAAAATCTGTGTATCTGTGTCCTGTATATTATATGTGCGCGCTAGTAACTAAGATTAATGGTCAATTTTACCACAGTATTCATGTGTATTACACTATTTTCACGGTTGTGATATATAGCTCTGATGCTCCAATGAGTAATTTATGTCTTAGAACTATAGTTATGTAAATATTCAAAAACATAGTCACAACGAACAATAAAAAGAACATGTACTGTAATGTAAAATGTAGTAAGTATAGATAACCAATGTATTTTTGTGTATGAATCAAACCGAAATGTGTTTTTTTTTCTAACCCTATGGGTAGAACAAAAATGTATTACGAGTACAAATGGAGAATAATAATTCTAAATGAATAGTTTATAAACTAATAAATCTACAAGAATATTTTACAATTCAGTGGACCAAATGGTGAAGGTCAATAATGCAAATATCTGTGACAAATATTTTTGCAGAAAGTGCATTTTATAGATACTTTTTAAACTGTCCAATCAACAATCACACAGAGATAATGACGATTTTATCAATTTGAGATTTTGATAGAACAATGAGAAGACGTAATTGATCAGAATTTGAGATTTATATAATAAGCACGAAACAAGGATCAGTCAACCAACAGTAAACGACAACACGAATATTTATTGTTTAATATAAATATTTTAATTATCCCCTAGAAAATCAATCTCTTCTTAACCATATACGAAACATTATTACGTGCAAACAACCAGAATAGGATGTCAACATAGCCCCCTGGACTCTTGATGAATTTGAGGAAGTCATAATTGATTTAGAGCAGATCTTAATGGACTAACCTCGGAGATCTTTAGGGATGGTGGTCTAGTTTTAGCGTTTAAATTGACTAAGATAATAAGTAGAGTCTGAAGATTAGACATCCCATCAAGTGGGCTTCAATAATATCATGGTACTTGTCAGTGATGTCAGCTTTCTTCAATTTTGTTTAACATTTTCAAAGTTGTCCATTTAGAGAAATAGCCCTCATTGACTGAATATTTAAAAATTGATCTATCAGAAGAGTTTCACTTGTTAGCTTAAAATACTTAGATGAGACATTATTGTTTGATGCAGATCGGCAAAATGGAGTTCTCTAACCACATTAGGTAACAATACAAGAATGTTTGAGATGTGTTTCTCTTCAAGTTAATCCAAAAATGTTTTTCGAATCATGTCTTGTATGCTGATGTAAAAACGTATCAGGTTTTGGGTTACTGATTGCTTAACAAATTTGTTTACTGTTTTATAGTCCTTCCCTTATTCTCTGTACCTAAAATATATTTCTCCAAGACGAAAATAAAAGTTTCTCGATTAGGTCATTCAGTTAGAAAAAAGTGACACTTTCTAATATATACAGTCATTATTTATGAATTATACAACCAAGATTAATTCCCTTATTGAGTTTGTAACTTGCTTTGTTCCTAATATATTTGTGTTAAAAGTAATGTATTTTTTGATAATCTTGAAAACATAATTGTTTGCAATTCTAATTAAGCTAACTACTAATTAGTTACATTTTTAAGTTTAAGGCTTTTCTGTGCATCGCTTATACTCAATATTAATATCAGCACACAATTTTTTTAAAAATAATTAAATTTTCGGACTGAAATTTGATCAGTTTATGTAAATGTATATGTGCATCCTATGCAAATTGCTTTCATATAGCCATTTTGTCACAGATTTTAAAGAATAAATGGATTAGAGCCAACAGTGGAACAAATAACAATCGTCTTGTTCTGATATCTTCGAATCGATCGGTCGAAAATGCAAATACCCAACAAAAAAATTTAAGTCCAAAGTATCAACAACGAGATGATGAATAAGACGAAAATGTGAAGCTTCAAAGTTGGCAAACAAGTTAGTGGCTAGTTGGACTCAGTAGCTCAGTGTATAACACAATATTTGAAGAGAATAATACTGCTAGCCATAATTCCTTTTTTTTCTATATACCTCAATTAAATTGCTTAAGATTGGTTTAAGAATACGTATAAGAATGTGTTTTATGGGAAGAGGAAATACTGTAATACTCTAAAGGATTTAAACCAATATCAATTGAATAAAAAATACAACAAGATAACATGCACAATCATTCATGTCATATGTATATAGAATAATAACAATAGCAATAATTATTATCATTATACAAAATTGATTTCAATGCTTACTTGATCTTTTTGTAGCATATCTGCTTTATGCAAAATTTTCATAGCATAAATGTAACCATTGTCTTGTTTTTGAACTAATCTTACCTATTAGATAGGTTGTATATATATAGAAAGAGAGAAAGTGGAAAAGAATAAATTATGGTACAGATTCGACTTGTTTAGCTAAAAGAAAATATTATTATGATTATTATTATTACTATAACGTAAATTGGATCGTGAGAAAACAACCCAGTGAAAAAGTGATGAAAATAAAGTTTTCGGTTGAAGTCACATACCACTAGTGGGAACACTTTTCTACTTTTTGTTAAGAAAATTACTAGAAAATATAAATTATCAGTGGAAGGACTACAGCGACGATTATTCAATACCTAATGTGATGATGTGTTTTTTAGTAATATCTAAAGCACTCAAATACACAGAATTTCTTCCATAAACATTTACACAATGTTCAATATTTCGTTTACTGATTAATTATTGGAAGACAAACTAAAAATAAGATAAAATTTATACACTCCAATCTCGATTCTTAACAGATGAACCAAGAAACTAGATGTGTCCTCTTTCAATAGGGAAACAATACATATATATTTTCACCAGGTCCTGTGTTGCTTAGAGATGACTGATAGCATAGTTCAACACTTTAAAATTATCGAAACTAATCAACCAAAGGTTGCAGCAGTACTATAATGCAAGAAAAATAGTTTGCTTTTAAGATAATCGATACTGACAAAAATACATATTGATGGCATTTTTCAAAAGAGTGCTTTAGGAAGCCCTTGTTATAAACCACTGATACAAACACATTTCACCTATATTTTTTGAGTACAGTTCTATGATAATTAAGATTTGTTGAAAACTCCCATAAAATATGGTCACATGTTAAACTGCTTTTGATTTTTATCGTTTAAATTTAGAGTCACTCTGTGACCTACAATTTTGACCCCATAGTCTGACTAATTATCACTCAAAACTATGAAAAAGGAAATGACTACATGAGTGTTATATTGAGATCATGAGTCAGTCTAAGTTCGATTGTTACAAAAAACTAGGAAGCACTAGAAGTTTGTTTTATCCTCGTATGCGATTCCTCCTCAACAATGCACCTAATCGGGAACGAAATCTAACATTCAAATGAGCCGCAAAACATTCATTTAAAACCAATACTGCAAACTGGATCCATGATCTAGAAGAGAAAATAGCCTATGAACATATGCTGATCAACGACTTCCATCGGATCGCATTTCTGAATGTTGCTCCACTGTCTTGTGGATGAGAACTCTAGGTCAAGAGCTCAGGTAGTGACATACTGAGTAAACCACCTGCTTCAGTTCGGGTATCTCTGATTAGCATCACAACCTACACACAAAACCAATTATTTGTATGGTGCAAATATATCCTGGTGTCCCTTTGTACCAATTTTTATGTGTTTAAATTAATATATAATTCCAGTTTACACCGGAAATATAAACTGAAATTCTGGTCATTCAACGTAACATTAAACTTATGTCAAGCAAGTGTCAAATCTTTCCGGTGATTTTTGAACAAGTAGAAAGGACAAAGTTACTGAGTCTCTGCGTCTATGTTACCTTGAAAATCTAATACAACTGTAGTGTAATATTTTTCTTAAAAAAACTTATCTCTGTAAAACAAAGATAGTAGTTTCGATATATATTGTTAAACAATGATATATTTCAAAGGATATTATGATATTTCCACAGAAGAAATTATTCATATATATATATTTAGAAAAAAGTACAGAAGACAAATGTATATAAATTTAACGTCAATGGGAAAGAGATTTCATGCGCCGTACTTGTTAATAACCTGTCACAATTATTTCAAGTTATTTGTGTATAGAAAAAATAAAATAAAATTATAATATTCATCAACAAGTTCATTATGTTTGTTGCGAAATTAGCCAATCATAATTAACAAAGAAACTAGCATTTACATGCATCAGTTCAGAAAGTCACATTATATCAGTGTAGCGAGATGAAATGATTAATGTAAAAATCCTAAAGTAAACTACATAAATGACATATTCTTCACTGTATGATTCAACAAACACCTGGAAATATGGCTTGGTAAGAACAATACAGATTAGATGATAGATAATGTTGAATCAATAGATTCACACTTCATATTTATCACCATCTGAAAGTATCAATCAAATCCATACACCCCCCTACCTACACACATAATGTACTTTAATAGATAATAAAGTTTTACAAAACTAACAAGTTGAACACAAGAAAATAGTTTGAAAACTACTGGAACAATGGATTTCACTAGGATAATATGAATTCAATGTATTTTATTCAACTATTATCAACTACAAAAAAATGTCTATAGAATTAGAGCTAGTCATTTCAGTTAAGACAAACATCTATCGGTATAATAATAACAATAGTAATAATAATGATAATAGTAATAATGTAACAAAGATGATAAGATATTTTCAATTAGAGTTATGTGTAGACAGTAACTACCAAAGGCAAATGGGTGAGGTCGTGCAAAATCCCAAGATCGATCAGAGTTAGACACTAACTAACACCTGTTGGATGCCGGCTTAGTCGTCCAGAGGTTAGGCGTTCGCACACAAATTCTGAAAGGTATGGGTCGTGAATGCGCACTGCTAATGAGTCCCATACCAGGATGAAACGGCCGTCCGGTGCTTCCAGGTTTCTAATGGTGGCTTAACAATGATTGATGATTTCAAATGGGTAAGAATAATGAACTATAATCAAATTGATAAAAGATCTAAGTTATTAATTTTTCCTAATATATAAAGAGCCTGACAAGAATACTTAAGTCAGTCTAACATCGTTTTCTCATACACCGCGTTTATTTTAATTATCATGTTTTAATGAAATCATGAACTAGTGTAATGTTAGACCACCGTTAGAAACCTGGAAGCACTGGATGGCCATCTGATCCTAGTATGGAACTCAACAGCTGTGCGTATCCACGACCACTGAGCCATCGTACAACAGTGTTTCTGTCTAACTCCAAACAATCCACAATATTGCGCAACAACAAACAAATACCAGTCACAAAATTTCTTAAAACTAATGAGCTAGCTTCAGTAACACTTGGTTTCATTGATTGTTTTTACTGACAGCTTATTTACTGTAGCTTCATTCAAATTAGCTTCAAAGTTAACATTTATTTACGTATGTAATTAGTCTTTTGATTTTGCGAAAAAATATATAATGAGAACTGATTGCTGAGTCTAGTCTTAAAATACTTTTCCAATAGATAGAGGGGGGAGATGAGAAAGATGTCAACATTAATCAACTAGTTATATGAATGATTACCGGGAAAATTGGTAGCTATTGGATTTAAATGCGTTTTCTTTGGAAAGTACGTATTTTTATCGAGAAATATTAAGGTAATGCACACGATGTATTTGCAGTTTTAGGTATCTATAAAAACATATACCACAGTTAGTGAGTTACTTTTCATTTTGAAGATTTACATTACAGACTGATTTAGTCAGACAGACACCTTGTCCCAGTATCTTTTCACCAGAATTTAACATAATTTTTTTTGATGAAAATGGATAAAATTATGTCATTTAGCTTGATAGATAGGTAATTTTTAATGAACTAGATATACTAACATCGACTCATTTGAAATAGCTAAAACAAGTGATTCCCTTTACCATTAAAATTAATATACAGTGGAATTTTCTGACTACACAATATCAGTCTTCAACAACAGCTCCAGTTCTTTAGAACGATTGGTTTAACAGTAAACTAGAGTTTTAGAATAAAAGTTCTTCAGTTTGAGAAGCAACAGTAACCTTTAACTCAATGAGAATATACATGGACTACAGACAATACTATGACATGTAGTGATGACATACATTTCATCAGAATTGAGGCAACCTTAGTAAAAGATCGCAACTTAATGCCAGTCAAGCCATTTTGGTTTACTAACGGAACTTTAATTATCGAAAGGCAAAAGTTGAACGAACATTGAACAGTTAACCAACTAATTAGATAAAGTAGAAGCATACATTGTGGATTATTTGCTCGTTCGAGAATTAAGTGTTAATGAGATAAATCCTCTTCCACCACAACCATAGATATGTAATCTTATCGAAGTAAAAAATGTATTTCGTTTACAGCGAAAATAACATGTGATGGAAGTATAACATGTTTTGATATGCACAAAGTATATTTTTACTTGAAAAAGTTGATGCACAAGTTCAAAATGACAAAATAAAGTATAATGTTGGTCACAGTAATGCTCCCCATTGTGTATGATAACTTACAATTCTAGATACTTTTACTTAGTAGAATATGAGTTTTCCTGATGTGATTTATGCATAGACGGATTGAAAAGGTAACTTTTCACCTTAAACTTACGTAAAAAGAAGCAAAAATTATGGATTATTGCAGATTCAATGAAAAATATTTTGTTTGGTGAAAAATACAATAGCTATTCAATTGATATGTTGACGCAAAAAACAAAAGATATTCAAACTTAAAATCAGTCACTGTAAACTATGCAAACCATTTCATAGCATTTACAAACATGTACAGTTACAAAAATATTTCTGTAGACAATTATAGATAAAATAAAACAAGCAAAAGTATAGAGAATTACAAGACACATATCTAGATACAAGTACAAAATTCTTCGATCAAAATGATCAATAAGCCTACACAGATTGTTCAGTTTTATTATCATTGTTACTATTATTATTATTGTTATTATTATTATTAGTAGTAGTACTAGTAATGCTGATAAATTATTGCATGATTCAATAAACAAATCAACTATCACCACAAACATTACAATGACAACCTACGAAAACGTAAGAACAATGTATGAAATCCCATGTACGATACCGCAACTGGTAATCGAACACAGGACCTTCAGGTCTCGAGTGCAAACAGTTGTTATTCTTCAGACCAATGAGTCAGTATCCAATGATACATATGTCGAAGGAACTTCAATTAATTGACAATATAGAGTGGCTATCTCCCATTGCTTTCGATGAGTAACTTCCTTACACTCAACACAGTTTAACTCTACCCCTTATGGTTTCTCAATGGAGTTTTAACGCGAAAGTAAGTGTGTATTATGAGATGTACACATTACTGAATAACACGATCGTTTATAATAGATGAACATAAACATACAAAACGTTACTAGCAATCTACAATCAGCAATATCGGTATTTCAAACAAAAGTGATAAAAATGTTACTAAATAATTTATCATTCATTTACTAATTTCAGCAAAAAAATGTCATGTAATTTTTTTTGTGTAGAAAAAGCAACATGATAAATATGTGTTTATGAGTTGAAGTGAAGTAAGTGTGTCAATGACAAGTAATTTACAGTTTTTATACAATATATACACATGAACACTGAAAAACTTAATCTAACAGACAAAAAGTAGAAAAAATTCCAATGTTATTTACTTATCAGTATTGATTAGATGAAGCACAATCTTTTATCTTCGTCAAGTATTTATAGTTCAATAGTTTTTAAACAGTGGAAACATTGTGGCGTATGGTAACAAAATACGTGGGACTAGATAAAAAAAATATCAGTGCTTTAGTGAAGGCTAGTGATGAAATGTATTGAACATCGAAGATCATCAGTAACATAACATATTTTGAAATCTATCCCATTTTTATTTACTATGCGTACTTGTTCACAAATTTTCAGTTTGAATATTTGTTAGTTTTTATTCACCGATGCTATTCAATCCTTATTGAATATATATTTGGTACGTTTCAAGGTTCACCACTGCCGTATCAACATTATTTCAATTCTTTTACTCACACATCAATAGATCACTAAGAAAGGGTTCATTAATCAGAATTCATGCTATGACTTTTCACACGAATTATAACACTTATTTGGTCGATAGACGAACAGCCTACACTTTGACCAACTATACACTTTGTCCGACAACAAGAACTCTGAGTAATCATCATTAGGTAATATGAACTTTATGTTCTGCATTAACTGAGTATCCCAGTGGAGATTTTTAGGCTTGATATGCTGAAAATGTTATCCCTCTATTAAGTCATTATGCTTAAACGTATATATGCAATTAATTTCTGTGTCGATTTATCGCTATGACGAATTCATCGAGAAAACAAATGAACATTGTTTTAGCACTGATGAATCAACATGTAAACATAACATTTAGACTTAGTTCAGTCCGAAAATTTTCACTAAAACACATATAATTCATTGTTTTGTGTGTGTGTGTGTGTGTGCATCTTAGTATATAATTCAATCATCTCTACCTACATAAAATGACCGTTAAAGAAAAGAAAACCAACCATGAAGTAACATGATAACACTTTCTTCTCGTTTTAATTTCATTCGAAAATTTAATTCACACATATTCAAAATAGTTTGTATATCATTATTTTCAAAAGATTTATCAAACAACACAAGTACACAAATATGTGAAACAAAGGGGTCCATTAACAGGTGTTTCGTGAATCATCGAGATTGGAATAACACCTAGTTCAATTAATTATTCATTAGGAGATGATGTATCAAATGCCTGAGCGCATTAGATACATAGGTATTTTATAAATGCACATAACCACACGTACCATATGTATATAGATAGATAGATAGATATGAAGATTTATTTATTCACAAACTATCATGTACACGTGATACATGATTCGGAAACTAGATTTATTGATTTAACATGAAAAAAAGAGAATTCAAATGAAAAGGAATAGAAAAAAATTAGCCATCACTTAAAAAATTATTCAATTGCCGTAGATTAGTTGTTATTAGTAATCTTCGTAAACTTCTCGATCGACAAAGTCGTGCGCTATTTACACATGAATTCTAACCAGAAACTGAAATTTCCACAGTATCGCATATATTAGTATTGGAATACAAAGAAAGAGTGATAACAAAGAGGTTATGTACATTATTAACATAACTACAAACTAATCAGAATTCACCAAACAATGAGTAAAAACATGTTCCTTTCATCTAATTATTATGATGTGACTTTACCTAGTGAGTGAAAATTACAATCCATTCAAATGTTACCTCTTGGATATGTAACTCAATGTATTCCTCACAAGTAGCTCTTAATGATTAACACTTAATAGTAAATATCTGTTGACTCGATATCTAATTTACAATAACGTTTAGAAGTGGAAAACATCTTTCAGAAAACAAAAGTCTCAAATTTTGAATAGGTACACCATTCGATTGCAGATGAAGTGGTAACAAAGCAGGATCAAACAGAAATGAATCATTAAGAGAGACACAATGCACTGCCTGGCTACCTAAACCATTAGTGTTCAATCATTCTTTTCTGAAACAGCAGAAACTAACTGAAAATGTTACATAATTTCAAAACTTAAAGAACATTCTTTCACAAAACCGAAAACGAATTTTTGAATCCCTGAATTTCGTTTCCTTTCATGAATGCCACACTAAACAATCGAAAGCGATAAAATAAACAAGTAATGTTTAATGTCACCTTTCAAAATATATAAAAGCAGCATCTCTCCAAAGGTTACTTAGTCAAAAAGAATATCACACATTAGTAATCTATAATGCACGTTAACAATATGCAACCAATTCTCTAAACAGTATTAAAATGCTAGGTTGAATAAAAATTATTTTATTTGTATGTTATTTGAATTCAAAGCTACATGGATTTTACCAGATCACACTACTCAGAACCAAATCGACCATATCTATATCAACAAAATGTTCAGAAGGACCATGGAGGATGTGAGAACCAAGAGAGGAGCTGATATAGCCTCAGATCACCACTTGCTGATCGCCAAAATGAAACTGAAACTAAAGAAGCACTGGACAACGTGGCAAACAACACCACACAAGTTTAATACAGCCTTTCTTCGGGATACCGTAAAACTCAACGAATTAAGGATAGCCCTCACCAATAGGTTCCAGGACTTGCACGATATACTCAATGGAGAGGAAGAAACACTGGAGAACAATTGGAAAGGGATCAAGGAGGCAATTACTTCAACATGTCACGAAGTTCTGGGTCACAGGAAGTACCATCACAAGGAATGGATCTCCGTTGGTACTCTTGAAAAAATTGAAGAAAGGAGGAACAAGAAAGCAGCAATCAATGTCAGCCGAACAAGAGTAGAGAAAGTTACCGCACAAGCTGAATACACAGAAGCGAACAGGGAAGTGAAGAGCATCAGAGCTGACAAACGAAAATATGTGGAAGATCTAGCAATGACGGCGGAAAAGGCTGTAAGAGACGGAAACTTGAGACAATTGTACGAAACAACAAAGAAACTCGCAGGAAACTATCGTAAACCAGAACGACCAGTCAAAAGCAAGGAAGGAAAAGTAATCAGCAACACTGAAGAACAGCGAAATAGGTGGGTAGAGCACTTTAAGTAACTCCTGAATCGACCAGCTCCAATGAACCCACCCAACATCGAAGCAGCATCTACGGACCTCCCAATCGATGTTGGCGCACCTACAATTGAGGAGATCGAAATTAAGTGGCTACTAATCTCTGCGAATACATAAATTGTTTACAGCTTCGAAGTTTAGATTCTTTGCTTCTCTTCAGTCATTCAGTCAAACAACCTTTATAAATCAGAATGAGTTACTGCATTCAAGAGGAACGGAATGTTTTATTCATTCCATCGATTAAGATAGAGACTTAAATTGATGAATAGGATAATTGATAAATGAATCTACTCAATCGGTAAAGTGAAATCCTGATCTTCCATAATCAAACCAAGTAGTCTAACGAAACTGAACAGAAAGATTGATCAAACTGGTAAAAATAAATTAGGAATTGAGTGTCATTTTCAGTGCAAATTAGACCTACAATTCAATGGTTTAAATTTAGACCTTGTAGTTAATAGGCCACAATTTAACTATAAACCTCAGTGGATCAAAGGTCACACCAGTTAATATTTCAAAATGTAGAGGTTACGACTAACTCAAAAAACTCCAACCCCGACTTTCTGTGCCTAACAGTACGGTTAGGTTTAACAATTAAGAAAAAATTTATAAGAAGTAACTTGTTATTCACATGAGATAGAATAAAAAAGAATTTATGATTTAGAAAACAATAATCAGTATATAATATCACTGTCATTTTGTGTATGTGTGAAGTAAACAAAGAAATTTACTATTTGACTAGTGAGCAATGGTGACCTTTTTTTCTTGTTGTCTAAAAGAATTGTAAATTGTTTTTTTTCATTTTTTTCAGCATGTGTTTCCCACCTGATTAACACATACATACATATACACGCACAAATAGACTCATGTATGCATACACGATCTCAGGGTAAAACAGGTTACATTATAAAATAAACAAATCGATTTCTAACTGTTCAACATTTTCATTCAAATCAATCAATTTACAAATCAGATTAGAAAAAGAATAAAAGAGGAAACAAACAGATATTTACGTAAACACAACTAAAAAGGTAAAAATGAAGTTTAATATTTTATGATTACAATTTGTGAATTATACTGTGTTTACTATTGGCGACTACAATGTAGAAAATTGTCAGTCATTAATCGTCAGTACTGTTTTCATTTTCAAACGAATTAAAACAAAACACTGATGGAAATCGAGAGGAGAATTTACTTTTTCATGTTTGTTAATAATGAATTTAAACAACGCAAGAAGTATAAGGTCTAAAATTGATTCTGGATTCAACAGTATAAATATATATGTTCAGGAGGAATATAACAACTGCTAGTAAATAGCTGTAATAGTATCAGCTTCACCAAATATTTTATACCGTGTACACAATTTCCAGCTTGACTAAATGTTTTTGAGCTGGGAATATAGTAGGTTTTGAAGGTTCCCAACCATTAGACACGTCGTGAATCAATTGGATAAAAGGAATGTGTTTATTCACACCAAAAAAAGAAAAAGAATTACATGGAAACACTAAACTTACTTCACCGAACGCTCCTTTACCAATTATTTTAAGAGGTAGAAAATCATCGACTGTGAGTCGTGCTCGTTTAAGTCGGAGAAATTCACTTTCTTTGAGAGCATGCTGTGTACGTTTAATTTGTTTCTGTGAAATGTTGTATTCGAAAAAAAGTGAGTGTAAGTAAAACGAATGTTATTGACATGTAAAACGAGAAACAACAACAATAATTTTAAACAACTAGAACAGATAATACTATTCTATCCAGTTTGTTTGTTGATTTACTAATTGTAGATATTAAAAAGTTGGAACAATCGAGTCAGATGATTGGTTCTAATGAAAAAATATATATTAGGAATTTATATTGACAATTTCATAAATAACAGGGCGGGATTTTCAAATTTGAACGCTGTATTTCATAAATTCATTTTACTGCTCTATATACACTACTTTGTTAGATTTTTGTACAAGATAATAAATTGTCAAAAAAAGATTTTTTTAGATGATTAATTATCAAATATTTATATCTTTTACCTACAAAAATATATTTCAAATTTACAGAATTCAACTAGTGCTTAGTAAATTTAAAGTTTATTTTTCTCATGTTAAGTAACTTGAATAAACAACTGAAAACTTGTTAATCTATGAAGAATATCAACATAAAAAAGGCATTTTCTTCTCTTAAATTGTTTTTCAAACCTTTTAAGTGACAACTACGTTTTTAGAATATAGGGAGTTCATAAATTTTGATCGGACTTGTTACTCAATGACTCCATACCCGAGTGAGCAACGCTGTTATTAGGAATCGGGTGCTAGGTAAGAATGGCAGATCAATAGACGCAGTAGTGACACTTCATCAGTTGAGGTGGTTGGGACATGTGTTATGAATGCACAACCACCGACTGCCTCGTCGAGCTTTGTTTTGTAGTGTAGGAATAGGTTGGAAGAAAGTTAGGGGCGGCAAAACCAAAACATGGCGGAAATCCATGAAGTTATTGACGAGTGGACTAAGCCATGTCAGTAATTGTCGACTACCTGGTTGGGGTCCGCGAGATGATAGTAATCGATGGTTAGAGACCTTGAATGACATGGCTCAAAATCGTTCGCAATGGCGCCGGTGCACTTATTCTTTGTGTTCTCTCAAATCCTAATCTTCTGAATTCTTCAACAACTCTAGTTTTGACTTTCTAAACTTATCTCACTGAATTAGACTTCTTGAATAATATCTTCTAATCCTAACCTCTCCGATTACTTCTAATACCTTTACTACCTCTTCTACTATTGGATTTGAATTGACAATTACATCTCTGTGCTGATGTGGTATGGCGACATGAACTGATGTATTTACGTACGAAGTTCTACGTTGCATCTGACTGACTGACTGACAATAACTCCATAAGCAGTTGACAGACTCTAATACTGAAGTATTAAGACCATAAGCTTATCATCTATATGATAAGATTAAGCACTTAAATGGATAACTGAATGATATTCAAGTTGTTTTTATTACTAATTGTATCACATAGACTATCAGCTAATCTAAATCAATCAAAGAAAACCTTAAAACAAAACACCTAGATCATTTTTACTAGCTCACATGCTCCTTACTTTAATGTTTTCTATAAGCCAGCTTTTACGAAAAGCACATTACTCTTGAGAAATTAAGCACCACAACACTTTGAACATTTAACTTAAAATTTTTCAAAATACTCTAACAATGCTGACAAGTCTATCTGACAGCTAAACAAATATCAAAAGACTGAAATATATTCTAAATATTTATGAGTAATTTATATCAGAAACTGTGGAGCACCACCGTTGTACCAAATTACTACTTACACAGTTAACCAAGAATTACAACGGGGACTCGGTGTATGAGTAGACAGAGTGAAAATACAAGCCAATGATGTTTGGTATAAATCCTAAACTACAAGAATCTAATATGAAATCGAATGAAACAATGGTTTCACCATAAACGTGATCAGTTTTCAAATAACAGGTTAGAACTGTCCAGCATTTACTTGACATATGAGCATAATTTATTGATTATTCGAAATAAAGATAATTCAAAATGCCACCGCAGGTAGTTTCACTTTTTTTAAATCTAAAGATAATAACAGTAACTGGTTGTGTTCATTTAGTCGCATTTTATTCTACACCTTATAAATAAAAATCTCCACATCGCCATTTCCTCATTTATTTGTAAAGTTTTTTTCATTAGTCACATCTAAAACATCCATCTGAGCCATCATTATTACTTTTCAGTTTTCCTACCTGGTTCTTACTGTTTCGCATTTTTCAAAAAAATAAAACACGAACTTATTTCAATCAACACAAATCATTTAATAGAAAAAACATGTGTGTACATAGAAAACCAATGTACATACAGACTTTATCAAATCACAAAAAAAGCAGATATATGCTAGTGGCATTAAAAACTAGTAAAGTTGATAACATAGGTTACAAAATGCCGATCACTTTGTCTCAATAATACGACAACTGTCATGATGCCTATAGATCCTGGGCCTCAGTTGTAACAAATACAACCATGAACAGTTAGGACTAGCGCAACAAAAACAATTTACTAGTCGATGATTTTATACTCTACTGGTATTATCTTGAATGATGTGAGTTTGCATTGAGAAGAAATGAGCCTAAATAGTGGTTCTTTTGAATTAGGTATTTTTTCGTAATTAAAAAAAGGTTGAGATGGAAAAAAGCGGGTTCAATGATACGATAAATAATCAAAATCAACAAGAAGAAACACAACACATACAGCTGAGTGGAAACAATACAAATTTATTTGTTTTGCAAACAACTAATTACATCTGACTATTAAATACAGAAAAAGAAATTTATACAAACAAATCATTCAGTTTTAAGTTAATTACCTAACACTAAGAAATATATTCGAGGAAAATTGAAAAGCAATAAGAAAATAGATTTGAAACACAAGAGAATGCTAACCTAAGTCAGTTAGTTGCAGCGTAGAAACTGACATATTAGTCGGTTGCTTCATATTGCCACAGCACAATAGTGATGACAGATACATCAGGAGTCAGTCATATAAGATGGATTTAACAAGCTCTACTTATTATTCACGAGGAAAAAATTTTACAGAACAATTAAGACTGACTTCAAAATTATGATTTGTCGGAAGTGAAATAATTACGAAGATTCTCGAATTTCACTTGGAAACATTCTTTGTTCGATGATACTACGTTTTAAAGTGACCAGTTTATCGATTTTACTAATCAATATCAGCACCTTCAGACGATAGTTCGTAGGCAAACCTCTGGAATTGCGTGTATTAAGCATATCACGGTAACCGAAAACTAATATTTAGGGACGAAATCAATCCTACTCAAATTCTTAGAGTTCTCACGGCAATTTTCATGATATTGATAACAAAAATAGGACGTCTAATGGAGTAATATTTGAAGCTTCAGAAATGGAGCAGGATCGTGTTTTCCGGTCAGACAGATGTAACGACGTATGAAAGCTTTTCAACTTCAGATTTGCTCTTTGCCGACAAACCTAAGTTGTGCCAGTAAGGTATGTGATAACTCCGATCATAACATGTTTATTACCAGAGTTTTATGTTGCTTATATAACCCAGACAACAACTAAGCAGAAGTGTTTACTAGTAAAAGCAACCAATAACTTCGACAAGCACTAACATAGAAATAGGTTTACAAGCACTTATTCTCAACTAAGTCAAATGAACTAATAGACACCATCATTTGTACACAGATAAGTACAGTCACTCAGTCAGTTATAAGGTAGAACTTCGTATGTAAGTACATCAGTTTAAATTACTATACCACATTAGCACAGAGATGCAATTGTCAGTTTAAATCCCATAGTGGTAGAGATAGTAGAGGTATTACTGGTAATGGAGAAGATTAGGATCTGAAGATATTATTCAAGAAGCATAATTCAGTGAGATAAGTTTAGAAAGAAAAAGGTAGAGGTGTTGACGAATCCAGAAGGTTGAGATTTGAGAGAACATAGCGAGTGGATGCAACACAGGTAAGTATGATCTTAATGCATTAGTGATCAGAAGAAATACAGTACTGAATATTTAAACAAATATTTAATCCAAGATATTTGGGTATTGTTAAATTGATAGATGCAATATGCTGGACGAATGATAATATATATATATATGTATATATTGATACGATATAAGCGACTGATGAGTTCTCATAAGATTGTATGATTGTCCGAGATATCACATGTTTATGGGAATGGAATGACTTGTATGATATATTACAAGTGACACTTAACTTACGACATTACAAATAATGGCAGTTGAAAATCATTTGTTGATGACGAATTTACTTAAATTTTAGTCTGTGATTGTTCTATACCCCTATTTATTTCATGTGTTTGTATATATATATATATATATATATATATATATATATATATATATACTTCTTTTTCGTCTAAAATCGATGATCGTGCTGTTACGATGATCGATCGTGTGCTATACTTTGCATTCTAATTTACCCAATCCTATTGAATAGTCTCATTGATCTAGCTAATAAATATTCTGTTCTAAACTATAATCAATATATATTGCGTACATAGTTTTATTGTTATATAAATTTTTAATCAGACGAAAGCAAAAATGTTCACATTGTGTGATTATGTTCCGTCTTTTGATTGTTTATCAACAAGCATAAACACAAAATCATGTGAGCACAACTTAATCAAATCTTCTTTGATATATATCACGGATTATTTGAGTCTACAAAGAAGATGTACATACCACAAAATATAGTCTTAACAGATAATACACATATGTAGTGAAATAAATTTGTTGAAAACATTAAGCTACGATTTTAGGTTATGTCAAAAACAGGTTGATGAGTATTTTATAACAAACTATAGGGTGCCTTACACAACACAGCAGGTAGAATCTTTTAGTTATTGAATGTAACCTTATATTTCGGCTGTTTAAAAAAAAACTTTATTATCAGTAAATGCTGGTAAATAAAGGCTTTTTATCAAACATAAGAAACCTACTTGTTCCTCTGTTAAACCTTCGCTTTCCATCATTGACTCCAAAATTTTGTACCTGTCAGAAAGCAACAATGGATAAAGAAGCGAAATATTTACATCATTGTACTGAAAATAGTTGACATTGTTCATAACGAAAAGTAGCTGTAACAATCTCCTATTGGGTTACTGTTTCTAACCTTGTTCCACGTACAAAATCATATAGAAATCTGCGCAGTATCGTTAATGCTCGCAAATAAAATGTGGCTTATTGCCTGGTACTTGAATTTTTTTACCTGATCATAATATTTACGTATTAGCCATCAGTATCCTATTACCCAGATTTATATTATTACATGTAAAACAATAAACCCTTGGAACATCATGAGTAGACGCTGAGGCATGTGTTACATGAAATAATGACACTAAGCAGAAAACGAAACCTATTGTCGCCATGATTGCTACTGAATGAAAATCATGAAAGGATATCTTTATAAAAGTAATCAGTAGTCAAATTTTATGGAAAAAAAAGTAAAACCATTGATTTGAATGATCAGCTCACATGTCACAAAATTTTTAAAACGACAGTTATAGTGTAAAAATATTTGAGTGTCAACATTCTTTAAGTGACATTAGAGACAAGGAAGTATCATATAAACTAAATGTAGACAAGTTACACAGGCCTACGTAACAACTAAATTGAGGCAATTTAGAGAGTGATCAGCAGATCTATAACTAGATTCTCTAAAGATGCGTCAGAATGATACAGTTTGAATAAATATGCAAAAGCATAAGTAATTTTCATAAAAAGATGAAATATTCTGGACCGTGACTGATCCCCATCTTATTGCTTACAACAGGTGATTACACCATTAGTACTTCTATATTCTAGTGACCACTAAACGCAGTAGACAGCCAACAGGTTTAGTAGAGTGTATTTTGTCTCATTTAGAGCACCAATCGGCTCCTTTAAGACTTCAACCCTTTTCATATGAATTCCTTGAAGATAACTTGCCAGTACAGTAATGAATAACTTTAACATCAAAGTACGCTACTACCATAAGTCACAGACTAATTAGTCACACTGCGGTTAGACCTTTAGAAACCTGTCAGATCTAGTGATTGAACTCAAACTTTAAGAAAAACTCACCTATTTTGACGTTCGCGATATTGAACAATTAAGTTATCATAGTAATATTCCAATGTAACTTTTGCAACTTTTACTTTATCCAACGTATGACTGCTAACATTTAATGAATCTGTGGAGGGATTTGTACGATTTAATGAAGTAGTAGAAGATGATGATGTCAGATCACCGCCTCCACCGCCACCATTTATAACTTGACTACTTTTTGACATTGAAATAATATCAGGTTTCATAAATGTACCAAGGGGATCAGTTGTTAAACTGAGATTACTATACGGATGTGAACTTGCAGTTGACATGCTTTCTCAAAAATAATTATTTTTACCGTTTCACTCTTAGTAAAATTATGTTTAACTTCATTGATAGACAACAGTTACCTGAGTAAGGAGAAACAAAAAAATTTGCGATTAATATTTAGAATTCTTACATATGCAACTCGACAATAGTAAATTATTACTTTAACGTTACACATACACAAGTCAATAGTCCCTTGAGTACAATAATTACCATTTACTCGCCTTTATAGGTGTTTTTTACTGAATTAGACCTAGTTCTTTTAGTGACTTGTTGTTTTAATAAACTGAATTTCAACTTCAAATGCAGGCACACTAATGAAAGGTTTTGAATTCAGTCTGTCGGTTTGTAACAAAGCAAAGATATATTCAACTTAGCCATGAATTTCTGGAAGGTTATGATAAAAACTATCGAGTATGAAAAAATTTATCTATGTCCAAAAAGAACATCACGGAAACCAACGCTTGATGAGCACTTTTTTGAGAATCTTCATAAAATTCAATAAAAATTACGTCTAACGTAACAGAAGTTTGACAGAGAAATTATTCGTTTACGATGACTGACGTTAATGGATAGAAATATACTATCAATGCATCATCACGGTAAACCCTAAATACTATATTAAGAAGTGATAAGAATCCTAACAATACTGAAATAGAGAATTGGGGAAATCGATTACAGTGTATTGAGGGAAATAAGAACAATTGATATTTGTTGAACAAGCTTCTTATAAGACTGGTTGAGCTATTAATAATCATTCTAAAATATCGACATAAATCATTACTTATGGACAACAGAATGCCACCTTGTTATTTCTGTTTAAATATGTATTAGTAAACAGTGGCATTAAAATATATATGCACCTCACAAGTTGAATTTGTCTGTAAAGCGTGGAACTTCCCGACTGTATAAAATGAAGGTGTTTTTCTTAGGAATCCAATTTTGAAGTCTCTGATCCAAAAGTCTGATTACCAATGCGATGTAAAGATATCATTCAGCGCGAAAGCACGGAAGCCAGTGACCAGTATAGGATCACATGGATTTGTTTCCCCAGGGTTACGGGGTCCATGTGCAGCAATGGTTTTGAATCAGGATTATGCATTTCCCCGGTGTGGCTAATCCGGTTTTATTCCTACTACATTTAGCTTTTTTTCTTTTCAGTTTCGTAAATAACACTCCCGCCTCGAGAAGGTAGTGAGTAGAACTTTCATAGAAGTTTTGAGTGTTCGCTAATACCTGCTCAGTACAACAGAATAAATGTAGTGAAGTTATCTACAGCGATTACCCTATTTTAATTATAGGTGTGCTGAGAAGAATCTGAAATACACACTTTAAGTAATATTAAAAATTTTCACATTATGAAAATGGTTGCACGAGTTACGCAATACATTATACCGATTTTTGTAAGACATTCTTGTTCACAGATTTTTGCACCACCTGAGCTACTAACACTTCGTCATGAGAAACTCAAGTCTATTGTGAAAAAGAGGTTCATTCATGAATCTCGATCTGGGACAAGTATATAATATGATAAGCGCATCTGCAAATGCACATCCCAGATGTAAAAGAATAAACGAACAGGTACATGACAGTATCCCGTTTAAAGACTGCACTTATGGAATTAACTTCCAAGAGTTAAAATGAGAAACCTTTGACGCGTTAAAATACGAAAATACATCTAGATGCCGACATATTATGGAAGATTTTGGACTGAACTTATATTATTAAAGAGTTTTAGAACCTAAGCAATTATATCCTGATGATGAAATTGTGCTACATAATTAACCATGATCCCTGAATCTGTGTGATAAACTCAAACAAATCGTTTAGCCTGTGAGCGACAACTTACTGTCACAAACACCTACGAGTAAATATTCGAACGACTTAATCTAGGCGCTAAGCAGATTGAAGGTCTCTAATTTCTGTTATACATGGACAAACAAACATTTGATTTACTACACGCCATAAAACGTTTTGCAGTCAATATTAAAAAATTAAAGTTCTTCTATATTCTTTAAATAAATTTTTATAAATATGAAGTAAAACGAAGTGAAACTTATGTAGTTCATCACGAGGAGTCGATGCTTCCGGTTAATTTAACATCGATAATAGACATTGTATGTTGGGTATTGAAATACCCACAATGTCAGCGCTGTTGTGAGATTTTGCAGAGCCATAAACGTTCACAATGTTTAGGCACAAATCTAATACAACATAATTAGGGTTATCAAAATCTTTAGACGTTACCATTCCGATAAGTAAACCGAAAAGTTTTTAATAACGGCAATTCGATGCTGCCAAGTTTTCAATTACTCTGTGGAACTGATCGGTTAACGATATAAAGCTGCCATATTTCTTGTTAAAGTTTCACTTTTATAGATATTTTAATGAAAATTAACCGAATCAAGTTCACAATTTATGTTCCATCAATTCGACCATCTGAAAACAATCATCTTGTTGCTGGGTGAAAGATTTATCAACGAATCTAAGTACTTTATTTGAGGCACTAAAGCAATAGGTGTATTTATGAGAAAATAACCATACTAACGTTTTACACCTTATTCTGATTATTATGAAACATTAAGTACAAGTTTGTACTCGCGAGAATCACACTTCAAGGATAATTTAATTGAATGTAATAGACTCTTTGCAAGTTTGATTAAAATGACGAGGCTGGAACAGAATATATGTGCAGTAGTCAAGGATATGATAAGTTGGGCAATTATAAAATCCTAAAACCAATGAAACTACCTGTCTTGAGAAAAGCTGAGCGAGTGCATTTTTGAATTACCATGGAGTAAAAGTTCTTAGTGGATTGATAATCTTAGGAGATGCGTAGCAAAGGATTCCTGGACGTGTGGTCGTGCGGACAAGCAGAAAAGTATATTTGAGATGATGGTCACATGTCTGAAATATGGATCAATGCGTTTACCTCGTATCCCGGATTGACGAGTTTCAGTAAGCGTTCGAACATCCAATGATTAGTTCAGTGTCAAATGATTTAAGGTTGGTTAATGCTTCATTGACTACATAGTACTTTGAAACCCATCCCGAAAAATGATAAATATATTAAGTCCTTTGTTTTTGCCTTTGAAATAATGTGAAATTTAAACTTAAACTGAAACTGAAGTATTGGTATACTGATGTTTGAGTCTGTTCAGTCTACCCATCGTTGAGTGTAACAATAGAATCGGCAAAATTTGCCGAATTAATCCTTCTGACATCTGAGACACCCTCGGTTAGACTGTCCTTTCGATCCTTGACAGGCATGGCTAAACCTGGTCAGTACGAGCAGCTGCCAGGACTTCGAAGGACACCCAAAAGCAGACAAGTTTGGTAGTTAGAGGCATGCTCGAGCTGGTTAGTGGTAGCTTGGATGAAGCTCACGCACATGATGTGCAACGATGTCGACAGCTATCACGTAGCATTGGCCTCCCCATAACCATGGAAGCCTCGTTCGCCATACCTCTTAAGCACTAAGTTCACGCCTCTGATGGCTGAGGATTTCAGAAATCGAGCTTATCTAACTGAGGCGCTTCCAGGTTCGGGCAGCATGAATAACGATCTCCGTAGCCTCATTAATTGTTGCGAAAACCGACCTTGATGTGTCAGACAACAACAGAGAGGCCTAAATATGCTCACACTAATGACACTTGACCTCGATCAGCACAAGAAACGAAGATCATGGTTTTGTCGACTGAATGCGTCGAACCTGCAGAGGCCATTGGTTTAGAGTTTGATGAGACACCCCTTCAGATGTCTCTATAGCAACGCAAGAGGACTAACGGATAAGCTGTAATAAATTAGGAACATGTGTTCTCAGTTAAAAATGAAGACTATTATCCTAAATAAAACGTGGCTGTCCCCCGAACATCGCAGACAATGGTGTAACCTAGCAAGGTATGACACACTTCCCATGTGATACAGTACACCAGATAGGAGGTTGAGTGGCGATTTATAATAACAGCAATTTAAATGCCGAGAGGCTATACGCCACCCAGCTGAGATGACAGAATCATGTTGGTGTTTCTTCAACACAAATGGCACAAAATATGTGATTGGAGGTATTCACTAGCATCTCTCAGGTACTAACTTTCAGAACGATAAAACCGCTGTGGCAATACTGCGTCTGACACTGACTAGGTCTGGTCAAATACTATTAGCTGGAGAACTCAAAAGTCCCTTAACAGAAATCACCGAACAGAGTACAACTTCGACCGGTTGGTTCGGAAGACGAATTTGCACAGCCATTAGAATTTCTGGGATGACTGAGCATGCAGGCAGAACCACTAGATGGACTAAGAATCGAAAATCCTAAGACTTAGATTATTTGTTAACAAATGATCAGCTCCAGGTTGAGTATGTTCATACCCCAACACCGATTAGGAGAAGTGACCATGGCAAAGTCTTGTTTAACATGGTCATGGACGAAACACTCTGGGTGGACGAAAAACAGCCCTACCTTTGCAACACTGGGGTAAAATACACGCTCACGAGAAGGAAACCTCTACATGCCCCATGGTCAAGGAAATGGTGAACCCTAACAGCTGATGAGCACTGGCAAACAATTAGAGGCATCATCCATAATCTTGTCCTAAACAGTGGATCTCAGGTAGACGACACTTGGAAACAGAAGAACATGGGTAAATCGAGGCACTAAGTGCCTACTACAGGCGAAAAGGAGAGCCTGTTGCAAGTTGGATTTTTCTCTCGAGGACTGCAATGGTAGTTCTTACTTGGCATTGAGAAACAGATGCAATGCCAAATTTCGAAACTATAGGATACGAATACCTACAGAACAGGCTGTGTTCCCTCGAAGGTCCTAATGGTGAAGGTTGCGGAAATAGGTTTTACTGACCCGCTCCCATTTTGGCTCAGAACTGAACAAAGAAATGAGTGATGAGGTTGGACTCAAGCACCCGGGATTATTGTCGCGGAGTTACAGGAGAATATGGGGTACAACAAATTAGGCACGCTAAATGACCCTAACATGATCATCTTGTCAAAGTAGCACCACCACACCCCTCAGGGTAATCCTCGAAAAATCGCGCATCAGAGAGGGAATATTCAGGTCGGTTGACAGAGTCTTTGAGAATTGGAATGCTTTCCCAGCCGAGGCGACCACAGCGTCCTCAGTGGACAGCTTTAAGTAGACGCTTGGTAAACACGTACTTACAAAAAGATTATTATCTCCCTCGTGGACCAGCTGTGCCTAAAGCATGTCTTGAGACTTGCTAGTTGCTATTATTTCCATCACCTCTGATCACTAACTTAATCTGTATCCCATATTACCGCTAGTCCCTCTACATGGGTTACGCTTCGATCTTCTTGCACAGTCTTAACCTCCAATTAATAAACTAAATTAAGCATTTATGAAATTAGTTCTGAAATCTTCTAATTATTAACATTACACTCCTCTCCTTATTATTTTCCACAATGCAACTAGCTGATCTCCGGTTTGGTAACGCGACAGCTGCTGAAATCTAAAATCCTACTGCACTGCAACAAATGTATTCATTCAAATAACGGGACATTCAAACTCACGAAATACTGGTAACCGACTAGAAATAGTATAGTCGAGTGTTTAGACCCACATTCATTGGACACAACCAAATACCTTGAACCGTACCGAAAGAACAAGAATCGAGCGGAAAGAAATCAATGGGTTTATACTAGCCCGTGAAAAGCTATTGGATATTGAATCTCTAAGATTAATCATATTCAAAAGTGTAAACAAGTTAACATTGTCACACAGGTGTTTTTGTCTTTACAGTTTAGTTGGAACATATGATTCAACCCATTTTCCATGACCAGGGCTTGGTCCCGAAAAATGCTACGGATGACGAAGGAAATTATTCACAACGTTCTGATGCTAACTATTTAGATTTCAACAATAGTTTTGCATCAATGTTGATAGAAAAAGAAAGACGTCATGCGTATGTTTTCATTTCAATCATTTCTTTGACTAATCCTTATAATGTTTTATGTCTGAGTTTGCATCTGAAATGTGTTTGTATTGAGTATAAAAATTTATATGCTGTCTCCGTTTAAACCCATACATTTTACATTGCTGTAGAGAAAATTCCTAACATTCTTCGAAATCGACTATCTAGTTTTCAGCGTATATCTTACTGTTAGCTTGCGAAAACTGTATTCTCAATATGCTTTTATGTGACAGGACATACAGTTTAGGAGTTTGAACAGACAGCATTAGGCCATTCATTGGATACTATTTTTACTTCATACCAATTTTCGTGGATAATTCTGAGCTTATTGACAGAGTTATTTATCCTCTGTGTGCTAAGCAAATCAAGAATGTTGTACATTTTATGAAAATGTTAGTTCACACTTTTTCATAGGGTTTGTCATCTGATAACTATGGCTTTCACTTTCTATTTGGTCCTAGAAGGATGACAGCTCATTTCTTTCATTTTTTGTTAGACTTCTAAGCTCCCCTGCTATCCTCGTCGATGAATTAGTTAAAGGCACTAACTCTTCCAGTATTTTGTTTCTGGACAGGACTCTCAGGTGGAAATAACACGTTTATGATAGTGATTTTTCATCTTTGACTTCTGAGCTCGTATCGTCTGAGTTTAATTAACTCAACAAGGAAGGGAGATATTTAAGGTTTATCATTACTTCTTAGTACACAGTTTATTGTGAATGTCACATTAATGTAAATTCCATATTATTCTTAAGACATAATGTCGAATGAAGCCATGTTTATCATTATTTACGTTATGTTTATGTAAAAAATGGTCTGTTTTCTTTTCTTTTTAAGATTATTTCACTAGATTCTACTTCTTTAATAATATCATCGAACCCTAAAATTTCCGATTACTGCTAATACTTCTACTACATCCACTACTATGAGATTTGAAGTGACAATTGCATCTCTTTGTTAATGCGGTACGGCAACTTGAACTGATGTACAAACGTACGAAGTTCTGTGTTTTTGTTGAATGACTGACTGTTTTCTTGGGCTATTCATATTAAGGCACACCAAACGTCATTGGATTTTCATGAACAATAGTTTTCTGTACTCTTTTCAGCAGATATTAGTCACCCCTTAAACCCTCACTTGTAGTCTAAATGTAAGTCTAGTGTGAAAATTACGTAGGCTGTTTAAACCATCGTAAACATACTTTTATCTTCTTAAGTCATTAACTAAAACCAGGAGACAAAAGGCTGTGGAATTCGTCTTATAACTTACCATGTCTCCGAAATAATTATGAATTAGAGCCATTACAAGGATGCCTAAACGAGTATGGTGTTAGGGTCGTTTGCTTGCTTGTTTCTCATAGAAACGGGATTGGCCGGCATCAACTACGATTAAGATCAGAAACTCTAAGACCACGGTCACATAGTGAATCATCTTCGTCGGTTATCACATCTAGCTATGTTTTGACACTAACGTAAATTAGCATTTGTGATATAAGGATATGTATAAGCTCGCTAATACAAAAGGTGGGAAACAAATTATACATTTCTGCATGCTCTTGGTGAAAAATGTCAGCAGGTGGGATAAAACTTGACATTATTCAAATAAGGTTTCGCATTTAGTTGTGTGTAATATCTTTTTCATTACGAAAGTATTATTTTAGTTGCCTAAAGGTCTCTTTTCATGCAGAAATTAGCTAATAATTAATAATAAGATAGTAATATCCTTTTCATGTAAAGGACTATTTACCCGAAAAACGTTTCTCTAACAAAGTATTGGATAATACTAAAACATTCAGTGCTTTACTATTGAAATCTTGATACTGTAGCTGAAGTTAAAGGTATCTATATAAACCATTTGGATCATATTCATCCCAGTTCTTAGTGGTGTTAGAGTCTAACAATAAATATACAATGACATTGTCAGAATATTAAACAGCAGAGACTAAATCTTCGTATTTATATTAACATGGCCTAAACAAAAGCATTTACTCCGACGTTATAACATACAGTAATTAAGATAAATTAATGCACAAATGCATCATTCGGTGATTGTTTACAAAGTGTCGCACATTATAAAAAACCACAAAGTGTATCACAGTCCAATTAACTTTAAAAGCTGTCAAAAATGATAAATTATGATTAAAAATATTGAAATTTAACGTAAAGAGCTAGTGCTGCGTACTTTATCTACAAAACGGCTTCAATATTCATCAAAACCTTTGATAAGTGTGTAAAACGATCCTGTTTCATGAAGAACTAAACCTCACAAAGAATTTTTTGTCATACCTAAGTGAATTTATTGTGTATATATTTATAAATCCTGCACAGTCTATTGTCTTGTATTGAATCAATAACAGTGTTGAATTGTTTTTTTAGTTTTCTTTGTGTGATGTTGCAAACTTTAACCGATAAACAAATATGTAAATAGATATCACTCACATCCATATATATTTATTGCCTCTAAAAAAGATTTTAGGATTAGGTATAATCCTTCAGGAATCTTTTGAATAATATTTTATATAGTTACATTCTTTATCTCCAACCAGTTTTCTTCTATTCGTTCATGAAAGGCTGTACACTTTTTTCAACTTTATTTTTATTACTTTTTTTGTGACTGATTTTAATTTGTTATAAATAAAAATATACATGCAAGGCTCTAAATCATTGGTGATTAAATCTATATTGAATTGGTTGGTGATAGTGATTCGATGACTTTAAAAGATGAGATACATCACTTTGGTATGAAAACCAACGCAAACTTCGGTAAAACCGATTCCTGGTTAACAGTCAGCCAAGCACGAGTATTTAACCTGAGTTTGGTCACTCGAATCTGGTTATTTTATTTTCATTGAGACTCACCGATCTTATTTAAATATATTTTCTGTCTATTTAACCAATATCTTGGCAATGATTTTATATACCTATCCTTTTATCAAAATATGGTTATTTCTTAATGAGGGAAAAATATATCCACTCACTTATCTATTATATATTGTGGATTCTATCCAGCGCTGAATCGAATTGCGAAATGTTATTACAGGAACTTGAGTCAAAAGAAGCTTATCTTCAAGATCTAAAAAATTCGCTTTTTAAACGTGTGGAAGAAGCAGAATGTCAAATGGATAAACTTATTTCTTTAAGAAATGAAGAAACAGAAGAGGCTCAAAAAGCCAGTAAAATCTTACGTTCTAGTGTAGTCAAATTAAGAGAACGTTTTTTAGCTGATAAAAAGGAGCTTGAAAATAAGGTATGTTATGAAATTGTTCCCATGAATGACAATATTACGATTGGTTTGATTAAGTAATATATGCCTGGTATGATATACAATTATCAGTACACAATTTTCCAACAAGTTTCTCTTGCTCCTATTATATGTCAAAAAATATATACATGTATAAATAAAATAACTACATAAAATTCTGTAAAATTAGCAAGACAACAGACTCAAGAATAAATGTTCGGGGTAGCTTATCCCGTACAACCTTTTCATTGTATAAAATGTATTCTGATCACAGTATTCCAGAGCTTCGGTAATTATTTTCATGTGCATAAATTCTAGTATATCTATATCTTGTTCTGTCAAAAACAATGTGAGCAGATTAGTTGTCTTGTGAATCATTCGTTCTGCTGATAGTAACATGAGGAAATTATCAGAGTGGAAAAATTTAAATTGAATGAACGTTATCAGTCCATCTTGTCCAGATATATTAATCAGGTAGTCACATTCAAGGTGTCTTGAAAATAAATACTCTGTGTTCTGCTTTATTTAACAGCAATTACACGTATATTTCCAACCCGATTTCAATAATGAAACTTAAAAATTTCGAAAAGTAGTTGATAGTCTATGAGATTATTGTAACTCAATGATTTTCAATTATTTACACTTATTGTTAGTCTTCAGTTATTCAGTGGATTTAACTTTTACACCTTTCTTAGTGAGCCAAATGCCTAAGTGTGTGCCTCTTATGCATTTTGAGTTTAATTTTTGGGATTTAAAAAATACAAATTGAAACATATTTTTTCTGCGATTACTGGTCTGTTGATTATAGTTGATAATTCTGTATGCACTAGCATGCTTAGGAGAGGATTCGCTTTTATTCCTGTGTTATAAAAGCTCAGTTACACAGTTTAAACAAAGATTTTCATCATTATTGTCTCATTTTTATTAACTTAATGCTTTTCATCTATTTATGATTGAAAAATACTGATATGACGGATCTGACAATGTTCGGTCACATCCTATTTGAGTATATGTTTCTGTTTAATTGGAATTGTTATCCCTCTGTATATAAAAATAACAGTCTCTTAATTATTTCAATAATAGTTATCATCATACCGAACTTTTTACGGACAAAAATCCCCTATACTTCATTTTCCTTTCTTTAATATCATCTAAAGATATGCTCCATTCAGGACACCTACGAAGGTCGAATCACTGAACTAAATAACATATTAAGACAATCAGAGAAAAATCGTGAAAATCTATTGGCGAAATTCAAAGCATCGGAGTTCACAATTCAAGTGGGTTTGAATCTTAAATCCTACTATTGTCAAGCACATTTGTAGAAACCTAGTTCTGATTAAATATAGTATAAAGGTACTCCCAACCGCAAGTTAATAACTAATTTTCAACGTGTTCAGAAGAAACATAGTTAGATTGTCACTACCTTCATAGATATTTTTTCTGGCTATTTAGTTAGTATGTTTTGTGATCATATGGCCGCTGGTTATTTGCATAAAATTATGCATCGAATCTAATTAGTAAAAAGATCACAAAACTAATGGAATATCAGCTTAGATGTTACAGTAAGAATTTCATACATTCGTTTAAGTTTTATACAGATTATGTTATTCAGGAAGACAAAGACAGTTGCATACTTGAAATATTTGTTTCAAGACTCTTTTGTCTGAAAAAGTCATTTATTTGATCTATAAATCCTCGTCTGTGTGAAAATCCTATTAATCCATCATACAGTTATATCATCTGTCCGATTTATACAAACTACATTCGTTGGCCTATTCGTTACGCAAAATGAATATATCAAATTAAATCACTTATTAGCTATAGTTAAAGAATAATTGAACACTCGTTTTGTTTTAGTTTCAAATTTATCACCAGTTTACAATTAGGACTCCGACAGGAATAGAATGCAAATAAGCCATCTAAAAGCAGTCTGTATTTGACAATGAATTCTTGGTAGTTGAAAACAGTATTATTCTTATAAATGCTATGATAATTGATGCAAAATAATCGAATTGTGCAGTAAAAATCTCGGAAGTAAACTGTAAATTATCCGCTAATCCATTACATTCTTTTTAGCTATAATGTAAATGATGATTAACTTCTATACCATTTTATAACCTTAAATAAATGCATTAGAATATTTGTCAACTAATAAGAGTTTTGAAAAGTATTATAACTTGGTTGATGAAACGGGTAAATCATGGTAATTATTTTATAGTGATTTTGTTTTGAAACTCATGATAATTTATGTTGAAATTTATTTCAGTATCATTTATCATCAAGTGTTCAACTTAATTTTAGTTTATTCTAACTCTTGAACAACATAGTATTCAACATCCTTATCATTTGATTGTATAGAATTTGAATAAAGAAATCATGAACAGTAAAAAGGAATTAAATGATTCAATCAGTCGTATTGCCCATCTTCAAAAGATTAATTGTGATCTATCTAATGAACTAGCTAAGTCCAAGTTGACTGTTCAAAAAACTTCAGCTCGTGCGGAGAATTTAGCAAAACAATACAATGAATTAAGATGTAAAATTGAACAAGGTGATGAATAATATCATTTATTGTGATTAATTTGTGTTTCTTTTTTAAAAATATTCATCTTTTAACTATTGTACATAACGCTCGGATTCCATTGACTTCAGTTAATCCATTTCGGTATCCTGATACAACTATGGAGGCTCGAAATTTTGTATACACACTACATGGCTGGTTATGGAGTCATGTTAGGAAAAATTAATATTTATTCCAGTGATATTAAGCTACTAACAACTACTTAAAGTATTAACTTAATTTGCTGAAGTGATTTCATAAATAACTTTCCAGCTGAATATGTCATCTTTATAATCGCGTTCTGTATTCTTCAATAGTATGTTCTACTGGAATCTAAATGTTGCTTGTGCATTTGATGATTGCTTTGACTTTATTGAACATATTTCTCTAGCAGCTACAGATCACTGTCAATTCTGCAGATTCAGTTTTGGATGAAGCGGGATCTGGTGATGTTGCCAAGAGCGATGATGAAAGCTCCATTATTAAACTGTTTATCTGAGAAAACATAACACCAAAGTGAGGTGTATAATTAGCCTCATTTATTATTATGATGCAATCCTTCTTAAAATCATTGACAGTTTCGGTATATCGTTAGTTTGGCTTTCATAAGATTTTTTGAGATTATAACAGTAAGGAGATCCTGAAGTTAGAGTAAGAAGTCATGACTAGTGGAGTTTACTCACATTGGGAGAGAAACAGTCGTCACCAATGGGACTGGGTGGTTTACACGCCATCTCGACAGGAGTTGAAAATATACCCCCGGGCTCCAGTACAGTGGTTCTAATGGTGTAGGGTTTACTGAGAGACCCTAAGGTTTTGGGTTTGATCCATAGTAGAGCTGGGAATGTGCAATTTCGAGACGTTCCGCAATTATAAATACTACCATTAGGCTTTTCACGTCATCCCTAGTCCGCTTAAAGATTAGGTAACGAATAAGAATGTGAAGTTACGGTCACCGTTTAAGGCTTTGGTGAGTCATTGTTTATCATTTGAAAACCACTTTATTTGCATTCTTAAAATGTTTATGTTTCTTCACTGTACGTCAGAAAATTCATTACATTTCTAACATTTTTTTACCATCAGCAAATGCTAATTCTACCCAAAACGAAAAAGCCGCACGAACTGCTGCTGAAAGGCGTTCATCAGCTGAAAATGCATTAGTTGCTGCACATCAACGAGCTGATAATCTATGTACACGAAATACACAACTGGAAAAAGAATTGACGACTATAAAAGTTCGTGCTGAAGAACAAGCAAAAGTGAATGAAATTACAATAACAAAACTCAAAACTCGTCTAATTGCTATTCAAGGTGAAGCTTCAAGATGGAAACGATCTTATCAGGAAGAAAAAGTAAATTAGTTTTAGTTTCATAAAAACATTAAGTATAGATGTAAATTTCTTTACTGATTAACACTTGTGAGTGTATATGATATGTGAGTTTCAATAATTATCAATTCTTACTAAAAAAATTTCTAACAACTCATTTAATATTATCCTAATTTCTCTCTAAACTTTCTGGATCAGTATTTTACATTTTGCTGATAACTAATGACGACACATTAATCAGACCCTGTCGTTAGCTTAATGAAGAAGTAATGACTGTATAAATTCTGTATATGGGAAAGCAGCTTTTCTAAAATGATGTTACATTTATTCTTAGGTTTTCTTACAAGTTGCCGATTTTACAACAGTCAAATTAAATCTTTATAAAAAATAATTAGTCGTTTGTGCATTACATAAATGTCATAGGGTGAGACAACATAGCTGTTCAGTAGTTCCTAATTTTCCATGATGGTTCAAGTAAGATACCACTTGTTCTTATCATTACTAACTTGTTCTTGTTTGCTCAACTTTGATAACAATTCATTGATATCAGCATTCTTAAGGTGGATGATATATTTAAATCCTCCAGTGTGTTTTACACCCTAATGAAACATATATATATATATATATATTCTTTTAGGATAGGAATGCCTAATATTCTAAAGTTGAAACACTGACCCATAGTTAATGGTGTTTGTTTTAAACGCCCGTATATCTTTTCAATAATTAATACTTGATAGATAAGCATGTTGAAAGTATATAGAGTCAGTCTTTTGTTTTCGTCATAAATATTCAGACAGATAACTTTGGTAAGCTGTTTTTAAAACCAAGTTAGAAACTGTATACCTGTTTATGTATGATAGTAGAATCGTCGAAGATATAATCTTAAATCTCTTAGTTTGTAACCAAATTAACGTAAAAGTATTCAATGGCTACATACAGTTAAATACAGATTATCAGTAGAGTTGAACTGTATCTTGGAGTAGAGTTTACAAAATACTTATCGACTCGTTTCAGATTCGCCAGCTGGAATTACCTTCATCCCAGTGTTAATCATGTTCACAGTGACTAAACAATAATATAAAAGCATAACATCACCCAGGATCCACATATTCCACAAAACAGTGACTTCGGAAAACACAATTCCTCTTTTGCATCTAAATATTCATTTATTGTATAATTTATTCCATTCATTCAATCTCTCTTTACATTTTTATTATACTATTATTTTTCTTTCGCATAGAATAATCGTGATTTAGACTCACAAAAATTGAATGAATTAATTCAAACTATGCTAGATGAACGAAGTTATTTAGAAAAAGAATTCAATTCAACAAAGAATAATATGAAAGAACAAGCTTTATTAATTGAACAATTACAAAAACAAGCTGCTTTTGATGCATCCAATGCATCAACACGTTTATTAGCTGCTTTATCAACTGGTGAAGAAGGTGTAGCCACAGCGTTAGAATTGAAACAATGCATTGAACTACATTTACAACCAGAATTAAATTCTGTAAAAGAAAATTGTAAATATTTAGAATCTGAACTCATGGTTAGTAAGTCATTTTGTTATAATTATGATTATTGCACCTTACATACCTTTTTTCATATTTATTATGGAATTCAATCACCTTCTTGTTGATAATATTATTAACAACTCCTGTTTTACAATAAGTTGGAATATATACGCAGTAAAAATAATAGTGAAACTGTAATGCAATCAATTTTTGTGTACATCTGTTTTGTGACTAAGTAAAAAAGATTGTCAATGTATGTAGTGATGAAGTAAATCTTCTATTTGAAGAAATAGTAATGGACTATTATACGCTATTTAATTGTATTAAAACTGTAAACGGATCGGTTTACTGAATTATACTTGAGCTTTATTTCATTTAAGCTCAAGTGGTATGAGATCTCGTGTAAAATATCCGTTTTCTTTTCAATTTAGTAAGATTGTTATTAGTGTGATTGAAGTGTTTTCATCTCACTGATCGTTAGTACAAAACCCGTTTATATCAAACAGTTGGTTAGTCACTGTCTCACCAGATATATTACTATTTATCTGTTAACAAGACTTACGGTCGTGAAAGTCATACTGAATGTTGTCATCTAATAATAACTGTTCATTCTATGAGTGTACGCACAAATGCATGAAAACTTCAAACGAAATGCTTGAATACTAAGACAAGTAACTTGGAATTTTTCATGTGAAATATTTTTAATATATTAATACTTATATTTATGGAAGAATGACATTATTACATTTGTAAGCGAACAATATTGTTTTTGATTAGATCGTCATCAGGCTTCGCTCTAATATACATGAATATTTATATGAAAATGTTAAACCAATCAAGGCAATTTGAGTCAATAATCACAATGAAATGAAATAGATTACGTCACTACACATAATAGGCAAAAGTACAAGTTGATAGTAGGAAGACAGGTGTACTGATAGTAGTAAGAAAAATAAAATACGATAACAAAAGTTTTATCAATAGTAGGTCAAACGTCATATCCAACCACGGAAGAGATTGGGATGTCACGTAATCCTTCTGAACACATAAATTTGGGTTGAATGTACGAATTCCTATGGCTTCTGCTATGTGTAGGAGACGGGATCAAAATCCGTCGGAAAATGATGGACGTATACGATAGATCACCCATAAAGATCTAGACTTATCTACAATATGACCACTATTAACCAGATGTGCTAAGATAGTACTGCGTATTGTTTTAAACTGGCCCTTCATAAACTATGCTGGGAGATGTTCACTCATTCGTTGGTTAAGTTGCCTGGTAGTACACCCGATATAGCTATTTCCACAGGAGCAGCTGAATTTGTAAATCCACATATTTTTGACCGCCTACTTTGCCGAGTCTCTAATTATATTCATGAAATCGTTGAAATAATAAAAATACCCTTTAAAATTTGTTATATATTGTTATTTTCATCAGACGTTTCATTTGGATGATATTATTAAATGTCATTTATTAAAATTTTATTTTTTCTGAATAATTTATTTAGAAATCAAATATTCAGAATCAACAATTACATGAAAATTTAAACCAAGCTAATGAAATTATTGAACAAACAAAGTCATCTGCAAGCAAAGAAAAGGATAATTATGAAAATGAATTAAATTTATTGAGAGAGAACATTTTGGAAATCAATGAACAACTGGATGTTAAATCAAAATTATTAGAAAAATCAGAAATTCAAGTAAAACTATGTTCATTTAAATTGATTCAATTGCTTTTCTGTCTGAATGTTTTATGATCATGAAAAGTAATAATTAATGTAGTTAGGTTACTCGTTAAGAATTTCTCGATTGCTGCTACAATCAAATGCATATAAACAGTATATGATCATTGAATTGTTAGATAATGTACAAATTTTATGATTATTCTACAGAGGTTTATGAGAGTGTATTTAAAAGAAATTAACCTGCCAACTCTTTTAAATAACTGTCTTGTATACTAGTTTGTCATTTTATTTAGTCTACTTCGATTTAGATCGGAACAGGATTATCTCTATTGTGAGCTATCCTTATAACTAATAAATCGTAATGTCGTTCATTTCTTTGTTTGGAAATTGTAATCGTATGTGTTCAGTTTTGTCTCTTAACCTGAAACCATTTGTTATTAAAGTTTATATTACTGTAATTATGGTGCAAGGTATCGTCGCGTAGTTTATTGGGTTCTATAGTCACATAAACTACTTTTCCTGATCTCAAGGAAATTGATCATCATTAATAAGACAAAAACATTTAAATTAATGCTTCAGATTTTGTAGGTTATGTGATTTGATTGTATTTAATAATGAATTCTATTTACTGTTAAACAGTAATTTGTTTGTTGTTCATTTAAATTACTTTAGTTTTATTTATTGCAGAAATAGATTACAGTAGTTGAAAATGGGTATGTGCTTCACATTTTCATGTAAATGCACCAGATTACGAATTATTTAATGCACTTACTTGTTTGAGTTAAATACCTACTGGCGTCTTCTAATCAGTTATTGACTATGGTGGTTGAAACTTATATTACATATACTCAGCGAATATCTACTGTGACGTGCGATGTTAGTTTGCATAGAAATAGGCTAGACGAAGGCTAGGTACGAATATACCATGATTCAGTATCAGTCCATGCAATCACTGAATGTTAAGCTGAGCTGTGATTCAAGTGCGGGAAGTTATTGTAACCAATGGTTTGAGGCGTTGTGTGGCATGATTTGTAATCGATCACAATGGTGCAAAATAAAGTCTTTCTTTCTTTTCATTTTCATCATTTTTGCCACTCCAATTAACATGAATTCATTATCATCTATTTTACCGTCTGTTGAAATGAAATTATCGCAAACAAACATCCGAAACATTTGTATTTGACTCTCTGTGTCTACGTAGTTGGTAACCCGATCTGTTGACAGAACAAAACATCACTAACAATTCAACCACATTGGAGTCATACAATGGACATCCAGTTATAAATAATTGAGAGTTAAACAGTGTAAATCGATTGGTACAAAATTTACTTTTAGCAAATAGGAAACACTTATAGTATGATTAAAAACCTTATTTTACGTATACTAATTGATACTTCCTTGCAATTTCTCACAAATATCATGGCTGACTATCTATCTATCAGCTTGTTAGTAGAATCCTCGAAATGTAGTAAATTCTTAGTGATCTGCTTCAATTGTTGTTCTTGCTTTATTGGGATTTCTAAAAACAATTAATTCTTTGAATTGGGTGTCTCTACTGATGATTCACCTTAAGTTTGGATTTGTGTGATTATTTGTAAAAGCACTTGAGTCAGTAGTACTATTTCAAATTATATGTATAGATGTAATCGAAATTCTCACAACTATAAACAGTAAAAATAGTGTGATGCAGGATAATCTTAATTTCTTTAATTCTTTCATTTCTAATTTTTATTATAACCATGTTATTTCATGGATGCACTTGAGTGATGTTTTAATGTATGCACTGCTCAGAATCCACTTTTATTCACCTCATTTTTATAGAGTTACGCAGACAATATACTTGCACATTACTTTTGACTTTTTATTGATCGAATCCATGTGACACTTAATGTTTCTTCATATACTTTTTTTGTTTATATCATTATTATCATTTTCCTTTTTATAAAAATAATCCCTTTAAATTGAAGATTGAACAATATCAATTGGAATTGAATAATTTACGTACATCTAGAGTTAATTTCAATGAATCAACGGTGGATGAATTAAAAAATTTAACAAAAGAATTGAATGATTTAAAAACAACTCATACTATTGTACAAAAACAATTACATACTAATCAACGTATAATTAGTAAACTAAAATTATCTAGAAATACAGCATTAACTAATGTCAATAAACTACAAATTGAATTAAAAAATACTTGTGATAATTATGACAAACAATTGAAAGAAAAATCTAATGAAATTCATCATATTCGTCAGAAATTAAAACAAACTGAAGTAAAATTACAAGAAACTAACGATAAAGTGAGTTTCTTTTTTCAACACATATTACATTATATTACAACTTAGTACGTAAGTTAGATCGAACCAATCATATGAGTAGATTTTGAAAAAAATCAGAAGGGTAGAGACTTTTGAGTGTGTATTTCTACCATCCTGCTCCGTACGAACCTTGTCAACTCATAAATTTGGCTGACGATTTTCGTCTGATTGTTGGGAGTCCTGACTCCTATGGATGAAAATTTTAGGGTGGGATTAGAAACATTTATGAAATAAATCATTAGTTAATATGTATTCGTGCTTGTGTTTAGGAACAAACATTTTTTACCTTGAAGAATTTGTTAATTGGCTGTCAAAAGATCATAGTTGTAATCTGATTTGTTAGATCCGATATAACAAAAACGGTTTTGATTGTATGTAAAAATGTGCATTTTTATTTACTTTACTTAAGCCTGTTATCTCTAATGGAACATAGGCCACCAACTAACATTCTCCAACCTACTCTCTCCTGGGTTTTCCTTTCTAGTTCAGTTCAATTGTTGTTTATTCTTTTCATGTCTGTCTCCGATTCTCGGCGTAATGTCTTCTTTAGCTTTAAGGATTCCAAGTGAGGTCTCGTTTTGGGACGCAGTTGAGTTACTTCCGCAATGTGTGTCCTGTCCATCTCCAGTGCTTCTTCCTGATTTCTTCTTCCTCTGGAATCTGGTTTCTTCTTTCTCACAGTTGGTTGTTGCTGATGGTATCGGCGCAACGGATATGAAGTTTTTTAGCGTAGACAACTGTTAACAAACACTTGTATCTTGTGGAAATGGCTTTCTTGGTTCTCTAAGTAGAACTCTCCTGACGTTTGTATTGAAAATTCTGATCTTGTTGTTCGTCGATAGTTGTTTTGAGTTCCAAAGGTTATCCCATTGTAGAAATACTGTCCTTGCTTTCCCGATCCGCGCCTTCACATCTGCATCAGATCCACGATGCTCATCAGTAATGCCGCCCAGATATATGGAGGTTTCTACATCCTCCAAAGCTTCTCCGTCATGTGGGATTTGGTTGGTGCATGTTGTGTTGTGTCGGAGAATCTTACTTTCTCCCCTAGTGTATATCGAGACCTACTGATGCTGAGGCTGCTACTACACTGGTCGTCTTCTCCTGTATTTGTTGTAGCGTGCGGGATTAAAGGTATCAATCATCTGCGTAGTCCAGATTGTCCAGCTGCATCCCAGCTGTCCATTGTATCTCGTGCTTCTCCTCGGATGCTAACGTCTTCACCATCCAGTCCACCACCAGGAGCAAGAGAAAGGGTGAGAGTAAGCAACCTTGCTTGACATCGGTCTCCACTTGGAACGAGTCTGTCAGCTGTCCTTCCATACACGATTTTGCAGTTGATCCCATCGAAATAATTCAGTATGATTATGAATATCTTCTCAGGCCCACCATTGTGTCGAAGGAAACTCCATTGTGTCATTCTTTCTACATTGTCAAACTCTTTCTCGTCTTTAAGGAAGTTGATAGATGGTGACTCGTTTTCTATTTCAGTTGATTGTTTAACAACGATTCATAGTGTCGCAATTTGGTCGGTACATGATCGATCCTAGCGGAATCCAGCCCGCCGATCTCGAAGTCTAGGGGGCTGAATAATCTGTCGAAGAATTTTCTTCGTATTGAGAGAAAAGTGGTGCCTCTGTAGTTCAAACACTTGCTGAGATCTCCTTTTTGATATCTTGATCAGCTGTCCTTCTTTACAGTCTGTTGGTACTTGTTCTTCATCCCATATATTGCTGAAGAGAATGTGGACTATCTTTACAGTTACTGTTATTTTTGCTTTCAGTCCCTCTGATGGAATGTTGTCTGATCCCGTTGCTTTGCTGTTCTTGATTTGTCTGATGACCATGCTGATCTCTTCATTTGTTGATGGGCCAACACTGACTAAGTGGTCCATGGGTTCTTCTTCGATGTTGGGTGGGTTCAGTGGGGCTGATCGATTCAAGAGTTCTTCAAAGTGCTCTACCCACCTGTTTACCTGTCCTTGGATGTTAGTGAGTACTTTGCCTTCCTTGCTTTTCACTGGCCGTTTTGGTCTACGATAGTTTCCAGAGAGCTTCGTTGTGTCGTATGGTTGATTCACGTTTCCTCCTCTTGCAGCATTTTCCACAGTCATTGCTAGATCTTCCCTGATACTCCTCTTCACTTGATTGCTTGCTTCTATGTATTCAGCTTGTGACTTGACTCTTTCTGCTCTTGTTCGGTTGATATCTTCTTGTTCCTCCTTTCTTGAATCTTATCCGGTGTGTCAACAAAGATCTATTCCTCGTGATTTCACTTCTTGTCGCTCAAAACCTCATGACATGTTAAAGTTATTGCTTCCTTGATCCTTTTCCAGTTGCTCTACACTGTAGCTTCCTCTCCATTGATTAGACCGTGCAAAGCCTGGAACCTACTGCTGAGAGCTATCTTGAATTTGTTGAGTTTGCCAGTATCCAGAAGAATTGCTGTAAAAGACTTATGTGATGTCCTCCCGCATTGTTCACTTCTTCTTGAGTCTCAGTTTCATCTTTACTACCATCAAGTGATGATCTGAGGGCATATTAGACCCTCTTTCGGTTCTCACGTCCTCCATCTTCCTTCTGAACATTTTATTGGTGCAGATATGGTCGATTTGGTTCTAAGTAGTGTGATCCGGTAAAATCCATGTAGCTTTGTGTGAGAATAGTCATGTCGATATGCCTTATTACTGATTTTTGTCTTTGAATCAAATATTAGAGCATTGAATGTCTGATTTCATGTGATTTAATCAACTCTGCATAATAACGCACTGTTCAAGTTCTCTAAATTATGATGAAACAATTATTTAGTGCTTTTTAGTCTACAAGCTAATGTCAAATTGTTTTCAAAATCTGCAGAACTAAAACAATTCCTTGAATAAACTTTACTAATGTACTTTCTTTATCAGTATGAAAATCTTATGGAAGAATCTAACAATCAATTATGTTTCAGTCAAAATATCATCAAACAACTAGAAAATACAATGATGAGTCAAAATAATCAAATCACAAATATTAATGAAATGGAATTGAAAATAACTGAATTGAATAGTTTACTAGCAGAATCAGAGTTACGCTTAAAAGCTGCTAATACAACACAAGAATTGAATGATCAACGATATAATGAATTAGAAAAGTGTTTTAGTCAATTACAAATAAGATTAAATGAACGTGAAAATTTAATTAAATACTTGGAAAATGAAATTCAAAATAAGACTAGTTTATTTGATGAGAAATCAAAACAATATGAATTACTAAAAGTAAGTACTCAATAAGTTTCAAGTGTTTTCACAGATAAAAGTATTTTGTTTTCTTGATGGATTATGGTGTTTCTGAATTGCGAGCGATTTAAAGGTTTTCCTAATAGAAAACTAGGATATATACCAGCCAGATAAACTAGACGATTATTGCACAACGTTGCAGCTTTAATCCCCCAAATGATAAAAGATAGTAAGTACGCTAGTAAAACCTGATATTTCAAAAAGTCAGGTTGAACGGGATGAATTTCTTTTTAGAGTAACGCTTATGAATTTGGGATACAGAAATTAGAAATGTAGGCTAAAATAAGTTAAACATTTAAACAACAGCAAATAATCATGGTAGAGTTTCATTCTCTGAGCTGGCTGTTTTGGTTGTGGAGCTTTCATTGTCCTTTCGAACAGCATCGTCAGTACAAACTTCCAGTAGAAGTGGACTATTCGAATTTATCCACGTATGACTCATAGCTTGTCCTATTGACCTCAGTCTTGACTGGTTGTTATTGTTGGGGTAGCCAATCGAGAAGAAAGCCATGCACATTGTGGATTCATGAACTATTTGATTATTGTTCATGATGAACTATTTGATTAATGTCATGATGAACTATTTGATTAATGTTCAAAATATTTAAACGACATTTATATAATTGTATAAACACGCATGTTTGATTGTATATTTTTGATTCTGTTAATAAGCGTTCTCCAACGTCTTCCGTCTTCTTATTTTTGAACGGAGGGGTCTAACGTTCGGTGTGTCATTAGTACAGTGGTTTGGCGTTACATCAAGTAGAAAACATAAAAGTTATCGACCTTTAACTTGTCACCGAAAGCTCCACAACCTACATATCCAGCTGAGAAAACGAAACTGCATCATAATCATATACCTGAAGTACACATTTTATCCGCCATCTCAACAGCAAATAATATTAATAAGTTAATGTACATTCGAAAAAGTTATTGAGAAATTCATTACACATTAAAAGTACCATTTAATGACAATGATAAAAAAAGATAATTCATAATGCTCTTAACAATTACAATAAAGTTTTTTCTGTATCCTTTGTTGGAAAATCTTTTGCTAAGCAATTACGTTTACATGCGATAATAAATGAGATAGCATCATCGCAGGTTTACGAACTCACTTCACGACACGCATTTTGGCCTATTTCAAACTAATCATTTGGGTAAAGCTTCATCTCAGAGTTCACATCGAACCTCGAACCGACTACCCTTCGCTTCAAATGTCTTGCGGTGTGCAGGTGTCATGGATGCGCACTGCTGATGAGTCCCACATCAGGACGAAACGGCCGTCCAGTGCTTCCAGGTTTCTAATGGTGGTCTAACAATGACTGTTTGATGATTTCAAATGTGTAAAAACACAAATCTCAAAAATTTTAACTGAAAATTAGCATTATAATTGTTATAATTTAGAATATTCATCTTTTTGTATAATTCTATTACATTATTATTATTTTTATCATCAATTAGGTAACAGTTGACCAACAAATTACTAATTCAAATAAAACAGTAGAATTTTCAACCAATTTACATAAAGAAAGAGAAATACAAAAGTCTAAACTGGAAGAACATAATAGTCAACTTCAACAAGAACTGTTAGAAGTTCAAAAAATGAATAGACGATTACAGTTAGATATACGTGATTTAGAGAGTAAGGTAGGTAAAAATAATTTATACTTTTATTTTTATTTATTTCATACATACAATAAGCATATTTTCTAGTTTAATTGAACTCCATTATTGAAATACTTGAAAGAAAATTCTTGCTTTTAACTGAGATGAGAAAATATACACATCATCAACATTTTAAAGATACTTAAGATTGCAATGAAATGTACTGTTTTATGCTGATTGGTTAAACAACAGTCTAGATTCACTAATAAGTTCATTTGAACTATGTAGTGACAAGAACTAAGCTCAAGGGTGAACAAGTTTCTACCACCCTCATCTCCAACTCAGAATTGATCAGTCTGAATCTTATGCTAAGTTTCTAAAGATTTTTATTCCAATCAACCTATTTAGAATAGATACATTTTTCCCAAAGTTTATCAAAAAATCTGTCAGTAGATATTTTATAAGATAATTATTGCTTTCTAACACTGTAAGAACTGACTAAATTTGAAACTGCTGTTTCGAAATCTTAATTACTTACATTCACTTTTATTGGTTTATAGTTAATGGCACAAAATCATGATCAAACAAAACAAATATCTGAATGTAATGAAATCAAATACCAATTGAAATTATTGAATGAGCAATTCGGTGCACAAACAAAGCAATTGAATGATACAAAATCAAATATTGAAACATTGAATAAAGAGAAACAGTCACTTCTTGAACGAATTGAACAAGATAAACAAAAGTATAAGCAAGTATGTTTGTACACAATATATAATCATTTATATTATCAATTAAATGAAAAATGACGAATATCAATTTTTGTTTGTCTGTCGTTATCTACAAGTACTAAAGGTTCTGAATTTCATCCTAGATGGGAACGTGATAGTTTTTTTAATATCACGAGTCCAGATTGACTATGATCACCACTAAATACTTATTACGAGCCCGTCACAGAGAAGAGAAGCAAATCAATCGTAAAGAATATATTTGTCGGCGATTTCGCGGTATCGAAAGAATGCCGAAATCAAGCCAGGAAGGATGGGTGAAATTACAGAGGCGATGGAGCAAAGATGGCAGCGATACATACAGAAAGTGTGCGCCTAAAGAGTGTTATAAACAAAAAGTACGGTTAAACAATCACTGGTACAATTGGTTATAGTAATAAATGTTTTTATTAAACCAATCGCGTTCTCTTCATAAAAGTGGATCTACTTCTGTTTCTTTGAAATGTTTTTTCTGTTAGTAATCATAAACTGACACAGTGTTCTCATCATTTCAGTATCTACTCGTAAAATAATAATAATCTACTTCATTTTTCAGTATGATAACAAATTAATAATGCAATATTTTGATTATTTGCATTTCAATCGTGCACATAATGTTTAGGCTTTGATCAATTTTAAGTCAGTTTATCAATTTTCGGTATAAATTTTACCATTTTATAAAATATTATTATCATCTTTTCTTTTACCTCAAGTGTTATTTGCAAGAGTTTTGTATTTTCTAGTTATAAATATTAATAATGGCTGCCATTGATCAGTCTCTTTTGGTAATTATGCATCCTGTGCATATTGCTTTGGTGTTGCCATGTAGTCAAAAGTTTCAAGATTCGAGCACATTGAGCTGACGAGTCCCAAGTAGGATAAAGCATGTTTACTACATTCCACAGCTATTCATTGTCCAGCTTCATTGAAACCTCAAAACTGAATGACAGTATCAAGGCAATCCGTTCACGAGGTGCACAGGTAAACAGAGACTCATAAATGAAATTCATACCCGTTGCATAACTTGTCTGAACTCAGTAGCGCAGTGGTTAATACATTGAACATTTTGATGGAAGTTTACTGAGACGTAGATCTCAATATGAATATCATTACTGGTATGCGAATACATCTCACTGACTAGTCCTCAAAAAGGAAAAATTTTAACCTGTTCATTAGTTCACTTTACTAGAAACCTTGAGTAGTTTTATCAATGTTTTCTTGCTTGTGCTCATAAAACCTGTCTTTTGTATCATATCGTCTTAGTCGTAATATTTTTATTATTTAAACTTTAGTTAGAGCAAAGAATTCAAAATGAAACAAAATCACATGAAGATTTGAAAACTATTCTTACTAATCAAATTTCAGATTTAAATGCAAAGTTGTACAACACTGAAAAGTTACTACATGAAAGTGAAAATCGATCTCATTTAGCTGAACGAAAAGCGAAATTAGCTTGTCAAAAAGTTAAACAATTGACTATTGAGGCATCTGCTGTTAAAAACCTTCCTCAATTGACAAATTATCCAATATGTACAGATGAACAAAATGAGATGGTTTTGAATTCCCGCTTATATCATAATAATGGTTTTCATTTAGCTGATGATTATAAAGACGGACCTAAATCAATTTTACATCATCGTAAAAGTCGTTATCCTTCTTCGGTAAAAATACTAACAGAAAATAACACACTTCCGAATTCATGTCTAAGTGAATACAAACTACCTTCTCCTGATCGATCATCTTTGAATTACACCCCATCCTCTGTCATTGATAACTCAGGGAACATTAGACGATCTGTAGGAATTTCATCAGATCCTGGTAAGTAGATATCAGTTGATTGCGATTACAAATTTTCCCAATTTCAAAAAACAACATCTTTAATAATCTCCATAAGAAAACGAGCACTGTTCAGCTCTTTCTAGTTTTCAATAGTTATCTCACTTAGATCGATTCGTGATTTCGATAAAATTCAACAGTCAGTTAAGTTGAATGTTTGGTTTAACAGTAATTTCTTTAACCACTCTATGTAGTTGTTATGATTTAGAAACCGTACGAGAAACTACACGGTATTTCAAGTATTCTAACAATAGTTTAGAATAGGCTAAACAGGTGGCTTTTATTTTCAAATAATACATATATGTAAGCGAAAAACGTTTTTCTCGACTCGATAACCATCGAGCTTTAATGTATATACTTTCTCACATGTGAAAATTAGTAAATCAATTAAAGAAATTTTTTAACAAATGATGACATGTATACTAGTTGTGGTAATAATGGAAGTTTGTGTGTATTTCAAAACATTTCAAGTCGTTTTTGTGGGTCGAAGATCGAATCATTAAAAAAAGTGATTTTTAATTACCTGAGTCGCCTTATTAAATTGATTCATTGCCTAGATTTATACTTAATTTGACAGTTATTCGATGGAAATTGACTTTCACCTGACTTATTCTTCTTGTACCTAATTTATTTACAGCTATCTTTCTGGAGCTAATGACCTTTTTTACGTTGAAAGTGCACTGAATTGTTTCTCAGTTGACGGAACAATTCGTCTAAGGATTCTTTAAAACTAGTATATTTTCATAACCGTACAGTCATACATAAATATAACTAAAATTCCTTATCAGTGCTCACCATCGACACTGTCAGCGTTTAAACACAGAACATTTTTTGTCTTATGGAGGGCTTGTTACGTTGAAAACACTGTGCCAGAATCTACTGGTCCATATTTCCGGATTCGTTATATAGTGATCATCCAATTTAATCGTTGATACTTGTTCTTCTCTTGATATCAAATATATATCTTCTAAATTATGAATCTGAGAACAAATTGCATATTTATTAGAATATTAGTATGACTTTTAGTAATGTGCATATCGCGTATAAACATTGTAATAAATTATTTTTTATGTTGTGACGTACAAAGAAGCCAAGACTAGATGGAATGTATGTAGATTTGAACGAACACACAGTTTATTTGCAAAATGTATACACATAATCTTGAAATATAAAATACAAGTAGGTTTTCGACTGTCTACTGTCACATATCTTCTAGTCTTCAGTATACCCTGATATCACTATGGAGTTTTGGTCGATTCTCTGGGAGCTCCGTCCCATACTACTTATGTGCTACCTTGTGAGTAGTATCCACCGCATTGGGGATCAGCACATGTTGCCAATACTGAATCACTGAAACGAACCAAACATATAGGGGTGTATTGAACTTGAAAGTCAAAATAAAGTGTATATATATCAACAGTCTAAAAGTAACATTTCGAAACCAAATTTTACCTTACTTAATAATGTTATTCCTTTATAACATGAGCTACTGTCACTGATAACTTTCAATTCAAAGCTTACAACAATCAGTGTTTAATCTAAGTTGACATCGCTTAGGAGTGAAAATACTTTTCTTTAGCCAAATCTGCAGTATCTTTTACTAATGACCACGTCTTTGTCTAATCATCAGTTTATCATTGTTTCGTCAATGTATATGATCAATTTCGATGTCTTTTAAGAAGAGTTTTTTTAACTTGAAGATAATTTTTAATAACGATTCTCTTCAACGACATTTAGTGAAAGTTACTGTGTATTAAATGTTTGAAGGAATCTCAAAATGTAGATCAATAAAATTTGACCCCTTGGTGTAATTTCATCGTCAGTAGTGGGACATTATTTTACATCCCACTTAACTGGTTGACTTGAAAAGTCAATGATTCATATTAAAACTTGAAAATTTCAATATTTTAGATGATCATTACTAAATATATGTTTAATATTTGGTTGGATTCTGTGTGTGATTATATGTTTCAACAACTGAAAACTTCCAAAGTAAGTTGAAGCTATTATTCTGTGATGCTCAGTTTTCCCTGATTCTTTAAAAGGTACCAGTTTAAATGAAATCTGCCGCAATAATTGTTTATAACTTGTAACTTTATGTCATTTAAAATTGATTCACCTAAATATTTCTTTTTTCTGTTTTCTTTTTAAAAACATTCATTCCTTTACAGTCGGTGATTTGGAATCTTTAATCCGTCAGGTTACAAATAAATTAGATCAACAAGAGAGAAGTTGATCTGCATCTCAGTTTTATTTATAATTGAACAGTGTTCACTCTTATCAATATAACAAAGATTTATCACATGTAGAATGGTTTTAGTTTCCGAAATACTTTTATTACATTTCAAATCACAAATTAGCGTTGAATCACAGCCCTATACTTGTGTTTTATGGTTTGACGCAGTAGGAGCCCTTAAAAAAACAAAACTTTTCTCTTGAGAAAAATGTGAGAATATCAGGAGACGAAATTATTTGTGACAGTCATGTATAACCACTAAGCAAATAAACACTGCTTGAAAAATGTACAATGATGAATTCTAGACTGCATAATTTATCACGAAATTGAGTGAAGGATTACTGAAAATCATGAAATATTTCTGGCTGTTTTGTTTATAAGTTTTTTACAGTTACATCTCTTGATATTGCATGTAAAAATACAAACCTATTTGTCTCATTCCGGTCACTTCCTTTTCAAATCGATAAAACCAAATATTTAATTTCAATTCGTTCGAAGCATAATGTGATTTTCCATTTACCAGCCGCTAAATCGTTATCAGAGAGAGCCTCGATCATTTCGTTGAACATAAGTGCTTTGAAACTGTCTTATAACTACAGGTGTGTGGGGAAGCGGTATAAAACTTGGACTCTCTGAATAAAAATTATTTGAATTAGTCGGGTATGCAAATCTTGTTTTACAGTGCAGATAAGATTGCTCAATCTATTCATCTTCGCCTCTGGTAATGTCCTTGAAGCAGCTCTGATAAAAGTAGGTAGTGATTGTGTAAATCTGTTACTCGAAAATAATGGTTCGATCTTAAGAGTGAGGATTATTCCTCACTGTTTGATGGTAAATACTCAATGCGAATCATTATCACCAATTTGAGTACGCATTTTACGAGTTTTAAAACTGAAGGACTCTTACTAGTGTCACCTCAGAGTCAATTTTCGTTAAATTGTTGTAAACCATCAAAGACCTTTTGTGTAAGTACGAATTTAAACATACTGGTGAGATCAATGTTAAGTAAAAGTCAGTGCATTTTATGTTGATTCTGTATTTTAAGATGAAATTCCGACTGTCGAATGTCGGAGTTACATATTGCTGCAAATATGACGACTCCAAGTTTAGAGTGTTCAGGGACTCGGTGTTCGATCATAGTTTTCTTCATGCGATCACGGAAATTAAAAGGTAACATATTAGTAAGGCTGTACTATATTTACGACCGCTGGTGACAGACTAGATGATACTATCAATTTGAAACATAGATATCCTTATCACGGGAAGTTTTTACGGGTCTCATTTCACTAGTTTTCATTGCATATAGTGTTTACTGCCAATATAGTGGGATGAGAAGAATATGGATTTGGTCGGTGTACGACGAGGAACCTTGAAGGGATGATGTATACATATAACTGCGATCTGTTGACTCATCGAGGCACTATGTTTGAGATAACAGAGATGGTAAAACGTGTTCAGGACAGGAAATAAGTCTTCGTGTATTCTTTTATTACTTTGAAGCGAAACGGGAACTATAACACAAATAATATATTGGTAATATCCCAGTGAGTAGAAAAAAGGTCTTTCTGACGTCTTATGCCTCTGTGTAATTAATGTGAAGCTGAATAAATTGGTGGCCATTCTGGATTACATAGAAATGACCGCAGTCAAGCAACTACGCACCTTCAGTGGATTCTTGAGTTTTTGCCGAGAATTCATACTAAATAGGGTGTCCTTCCATTAGACCCTTAACCAACCAAGTGTGTGGGTGTGCGGAAGCCATTGTCTTGAAAAGCACTCTGAATAAATCATTTTCCACAATGAAGGGACACATAGTTAGGCCAATTATGTTGGTACACCTCGATACCGAAGCACACATTAATGTCGCAATAGGCGCGTCTGTTTCAGCAATGTTTAGCATTATTTTAGAGACTCCTGCAAGATATTGAATAGAGATATAGTACTTTTGGCAAGGATCTCTCATCTTTTTTATTGTGTGGGAGTATGATAATTTAATCTCCATAGACCATAAACCCACAAAATATTATCCTAGCTCGTCTACAGACAAAATCTTCCATCGATAATTCCGACAACTCAACTACATCTCACTCAATGTACAGAACATATTTTCACGGCAAATAATATAGTTATGACCTCCTAATGACGCGTAATTCACTGAATTGTTATCACAGAGTTCACCTTAAACTGGGTTGTCTGCAGAAAAAGGCACTGATCTTCAACGGGAGATGTCATCAACAACCCTGAAACTTAGAGTCAATCAGAATGGAAAGGGTAGAAAAACTCTACGAATAGGGGTCGTTGAGTCATGGGTAAAATTTCTGACGCGATATATTCAGTACGTTGCACGACTTTTTTTATCTAGGTGTCCGAGCCACAATTAGGCCGACTGCAGGACAATTTCGCTAGCCTGTTATTAACAGAGACGTGAAGGGGTGAACAAGCTTTGTGTGATCTTCAAGAAATCTACGGTATCTAGTCATTACAAATATCCCTTAGGAACTTTTATGGTGCTCATATAAACCAGGTTCACCTTAACTATTGCGGGGATCAAACGGATACTCTTGTCTCATTAAGTGCCGGGAACGTTTCTGACGATGGTCATAACGATTGTCTATTAACGTTATTACTGCTGAAACAATGGCTTGCATATTTGTTGGTCGATGAGTAGCAAACTTCGGTTGTCTTTCAAATATTAATAATGGCCGTGGACGCCAGTTCGACCCTGGACTTTTCGATCGTCTTAGTATACATTTAAGAATCTTACATTGACGAACTACTGCTTGCCATCTGCAAATAAGCGTCTTATTGGAATGATTTGACCTACATTTGAAAATCTAACTTTCAACTGCGGCGTATGACAGTGGACTGTTGCCTTCTCGCTCGTGTTACTCGCAATACAATAGAAGTCGACGTTAGGAACGCTACAGCCGAACTTTCTGATGGCACGAAACTTATTTCTCCAGGAGAACTTGTGGGTTCTTTATCTGTATCAACAGATGTAAATCTAAACTCTTATATGAGAATGCTTTAAAACGCAATGTGTTCAGTCAAACCTATTTCCACTCAACCGTAGGCAACTAAAATATTCTTCAAACCCCTCATACCAATCATTACACACATTTTCATACGTTGAGACTCATAACGTCCACTCTATGAAGCAGCATACGAGCAATCGTACAAAGATCATCATCGCGAAACTAAGTTACAAACAAGTGATAGGAACGTGATTTAGGAAAATGTAAGCGTTGACCGACTGAAAGACACCTTGGAAGAAAACCATTACTCTGGTGAAATCCCCGGCCCGTAATAACCCGAGACTAAACTTAATTTGTTTCTGAAAAGCGACCTAAGACGATGAGCGGCGCGAGAAATTTGAGAACTACAAAACGAATGAAGGAATACTATTTGCAGGACATGTTTAAAGCTCATTTACTCTATTTCTTTCTTTCCGTCTTTCTTGACCCTTCGCACCTTTGATTTCTTTTGCATCGAATGCCAAGAACTTTTTTTATACTTATTTATATATTTAACACTGAAACCATGAATTAACTTTTCATAGATCGCTGGCCGCCTTATTGCCATAGTTTAGCATTCATTATCAGTGTGTATCCAAAACCTTCGATACCTTCAGGAATGGAGCCCAGGACCTTCAGTCTCACTCATGAAGGCTTAGAATCTAGACCACGGTGTTGGTATCCAACTCTTGTCGATCCAAGGTTTGCTTAAACTCCTATTTTGCCGCGTTAGAGACGTTTTCGCTAAATATGCCAGTACGTTTGAAAGCTATAGTATATCAAGAAATGTTATTAAAAACCTAAGTAATTATAATCGTGTATCGATAAGTTCATGGTTGGCCTTAACCATTGCAAGCTTTTACACACTGAATGATCCAAAGCCGAATAACTGCATAATATCTAACTTTTATATCTCAGTCGTGGCTCGCGAAACTTCTTCCCCCAGAATAAGTCACTTTGTTGACTTGTGTTTCTGCGTGCATAGTATTTGTTATTCTTGTAAGGTTGGCATACATTATAGATTTCCTGGTAGGTGAGCTTCTTTGAACAGTCATCAGGGAAGCTTTAAGAATTAGGTTTTTCCCGATCTTGTAGACAAACTTTCTCACTGTCCCTATATTTTTCTACTTAGACCAAAATTCTCGACAGATTACTGATACTAGATAACTCAGATTATCAAAAAATTATAATTCATTTCACCTTGTGGTGTACCAACAAATATGCCTCTATGCTGTATTGTATCGTCTTTAACCAGGCATAGAAAGCAACTGACGCGCGGGCCTAGAACCTCCCCCAAAAAATACATCACAACTATATACTATACCGCCTGTCTATGGGAGCTGTATTTTATAAAGTTACCCGGTACAAAATCTTTCTGAAAATCTATTACGACGCTGTCAGCCCTGTTTTGAGAAGTTTATTCAGAACAAGCCACGTGCTTTAGTACATAAAAACTCATTATAGACAAACATATAAGGTGGAACTCTTGGAGTGGCTCCGATTCAAAATCACACGGTACCATATAATGTGTGCACTCAGAAAATAAAACTGATTAGAATAACTCCTCATTGTTATTTGATAAAGTTAGTAGGAAGCTGATGATAGCTCCTACACAGTTTTGTCGAGAAGAAGGTATATACCGTGTTATGTAATCTGTATCAAATTTCCTTAGCAACATGCAACTCTTATAATGTATGTGGTAGACCATGAAAGTCTACTTTATCATCCTAACTGTATGGAACACTCGTATTCGTTCTTATGCTTGGCCATGGAGGGCAAATGAATCAATCCCATTAAATACATGTATAATGGGAAGAAATGGTGGAGCATCTTATACAACATGCTTTTTAACGGATTCCGGTATCACATTTTTGTTACTGCTAAGGTCCTAGGTATCGGTTTAATGATACTCCATTTGTCTCTGAACTGAAATTCTCCAGCCAACATAGTTTAACCATTGCTAGAGATATTTGCCTAACAATTAGAAGACTGATTCCGAGATTTCCTACAACGGTTTCTAGTGTTTATTGTCCAGACATCTTCGGGAAAATTTACCTACGTTCTGTTTCCTTAACTTCAGAAAGATATCCTTGAGCTTGTCCAGGAGGAAGCAAAGAAACAGGCACACGGACTAAAATTAAGTCCTACAAACTTGCTTGAAAGCACTTAACTTAAAACCATTGAAGTGCAAAGCGATTTAGGACAATATGATTATATTGTATCATATTCTTGTAGCACTGCGAATGAACAACCACGGATTTGTATCCGCAACAAGCAACTTTTTAAGATATTTACTCAGGATAAGACCCTATAAGTTTTTCCGAGTTATTTTACAGTTCAAATGAATAAGCCTTCCAGCTTCCTGCAGTAAGTTACTGCAATAAAACCTTTTGATCATCGCTCTGTAGGTAACTAGATGTATGCCTCTCTGTAATCAAAAGTTCTTCCTGAATATTCCAACAGCATCCAACTGATTGAAAACTTACTCATCATGCCAAGCATTATTATAATTGTGTTCATTTTGGGCGAAACAATGTGTCCGTTTAAACTACAATAATATTGGATGGATATCAAAAATGGTTCCCAAAACTGATTTCTGACCAACACCGAATGCACGTTTATCTCATCTCAGAGGATATAAAGAGCAGCTGCAGATAAACTTTGTTATAATACTCGTAGATTGTATATACTAAATAACTGAAATTGTGCCCAAAGAACAAGAATCGAGGGCAAAGACGTCAACTGAATTATACTAACATGTGTAAAATGTTATTGGATATTGGATATTGGAAGGTCATCAATTGTACGTATTATGAATATACTGAGAAGTTTGTTCTCCCACGATTTTGTGTTACACAAAACATGGAAACGTTTTATAAACCTTCAAGAATTTCAGTGCAAAAAGTTGATGTCCGACTATGGGATTAACGTACAGAGGTTTGTGCTTGTTAGAAATCGTAATGAAATTGATACAACAAGAAACGCCTTTAAAGTAAAATGTTGTATACTGTATATCTTTGACCTATAGGTTAGAGAGTATGTTATTAAAGCACAGATTCCAGCGGGTGGCAGGGGGATTGGTGTTTTTCGTGATGGCTTCAAAGGTGGGGTTCATCTTACGGAGGACCCAGATAAAATGGCACTCACAGTTTCGAAGATGCTTGGAAATCACCTAGTAACCAAGCAAACGACATCGTCAGGTATTCTCGTCAGTCAAGTAAGTTTACGTATCTCGTACTGAATTTTCTTGCGCAGCATATTTATTTGCAGGTCAGCTAGATACTACTGCTCAACAAACAGAAGATATTAGATCCTGATAGTATTAGGATGTGAAAGCCTAAATTTACTTGTTTCGACTGCATACACTGTGTTGTGGACTCTTTCAAGCCACTGCAACTGGTAATATTCTCACCCCGTTAAGTTATGTGATCTGTTGCAGTTTACATGCTTTGTTTAGACCCGTTATTTAAAACATCAGATTTAGTTTTTCTGTTCATCGCAAAATAAATATAACTTGTAGGATAGTTTTGGGATAAAATGTCTATCATGTAAACACAAGGTACATGGTATTATAATTTATCCGTATTTCCGAATTAAATGCATGTACTTTGACCATTCTGCTCTAACTGTTTTATGGAAAGATTCATAAAAATATTCAGCCCTATATTCATCTATGACTTTGTAGTACCTAATTTGACAAGGTTGAACTGTCTTGTGTCAAGCCGCTAATGTCAGTGAGTTTTGTTTCAACCAGAACTACTCCATTTTCCATCAATTACAACCTTTCATTTATTCTGCCGGTTCATGCACTCTGGTGTTGTAATTGTGTAATCTAATATCATCACTCGATTGAACCAATTTAACTCGTACGAAAACAGTAAGCTGTGAACCAGTGATTAAACTCCAATTTTAGTAAATAAAGGATCATCGTGGAGTACAGCTTTAACAGCTAATCAATCCTTCCTCACGACAATGCAGTTGTTCATGCTTGGTCTTTAGTTAATTTCAGTTTTAAGGGTTGATGGCACTTAATTGTGGCGTTTAAGTCATAGTACAGTAGTGCGAGCATTGCATTGCGCGGGGCTCACTATTATCATTGGGTTACAGATTGCTTTCGTTTGTTAATGTGAGCATTTTATAAGCATAGCCTTCAGGCATTTCTTCGGAATTTATTTGTTCTTGAGACAATTTTTAAATCTCTAACTTGATTTTATGCGATCATAATTTCCAATCACAGCATCATTGTTTAAACTAAAATTTTCATGTTGGAAATTTTTTCTCATTTTCACCGGAGTATGTGTTTACGATTCCTAGAAAGTGTCCAGACTTCAGACTATCAAAAGAATTTCCATAAATTACCGATTTTTTGCTGAAAAGATAACACCTTACCAACTTCTATGATTTCTTGTAATGATTATAATCCTAAGTGCGCTTTTTTAAACTCATATTTTAGCATAACCTTTGCACTCTTCTGAATGGTTGCCACCACTTTTGACCTGATTTTTCCACCTCGTTACGCTTAGTTACTGTGTGTAAAGTTCAACTTCAGTTTGTGTTTGTCGAATATCAATTATTTTAACACTACTGCCTTCTGTTTGAGTTCCGTTATTGAGGATTGCCATCAAAAAGTTGTGTCAGTTATTGCCTTTTCGAGTTCTAAATAAATTTCATTCGTACCAACTTGATCTCGAATGTTTGTAATTAACAATTACTGTCAGTAAAACCATAATCCAACCGCAGTCGTTTACCGAAATATGACAAATTTCAACTTTGAATACATCATCTAGATGTATATTTATTCACAGCCTTATAGAGCCAACATTTAAAAACTGATTTTCATCTTCACTCCTATTGTCACAGATATTTTAGGATCATATTTTTGTTACAATTTTAAATTGGAAGTGTTTGATAATTGAAACACAATGATTAATTCTAGTAAACACGTATACCATTAAGTTCTTCTTACAACATCAGGGCTATCCTTTTAATGTTCTTCTCTGGTTTAAATAATTTTTGAAGCCTTATATGTTCAATCAACTTCCACCTGTAATCACCACTTTTGCCTTTGTAAAACGTAGTTTTCGAAAGTATATTGATACCTACAGGCTGATGATAAAGATTCATCATGAGTAAAGAAAGTATCACTAAATTCATTTATTCTTATAATGTAAGTGTATCGTCTATGTATATGTTTTGTTAGAAGTTATTTTTATCAAGTTTATTTTGGTGAATTTGTCCAGGTCATGGTAGCAGAGGCACTCGATATACACCGCGAAACATATTTTGCTATTTTAATGGATCGAACTTCGAACTCTCCAATCATGATAGCGTGTAGTCAAGGTGGAATGGATATTGAAGAATTAGCAAAACATTGTCCATCTGCCATTACTAAAGAACCTATTGATGTAACTGTTGGTGTAACTGGTTAGTATACAAAAATTGCTTTTCTTACTATATATCTACTGAAATTTCGAGCTGATATTTATTAAGTAGTCTCAAGTGACATAATAATTATTTTTACTTTGAAAATATTAGACTGCAATTTACTGACTAAGCAAATGGCTTCCGTTTATGCTAGTGTAGTAGAATTATCTGTCACAAATTAATGTTCACAATCAGTTATTTTCAAAATTGTTTCTATCCACCGTAATTCTTTTGTCAGTTCATATCTATAGTTCATTTGTTTCATTATTCAATTGAAACTTCATATTATGGTGGAATTGTTATTTAGAAAGAATGAGCAGATTATTATTTATGTTAGAAAAAAATATATATAGTTCCCTCCCTGATTAATCAAATAAATTTTGTTTTATAGAAGATCAGGCATCAAGATTTGCTAAAGCTTTGGGGTTTACTCCACAGACAAAATTGTATGAAGATACGTGTGAACAAATTCGAAGACTGTACAAAATGTTCACAGCCTTAGATTGTGTTCAGGTTAGTCATATAGTAGCGATAAACGATCTGAAATACTAATGGATCGTCTAGTATGCAATCAAAGTATTCACTTATATTACATTTTTCATAACTACACAGAATTTTTTTTTGGAGTTTATAATTAAATCTGCTCCATAAAAACTATTTATTTAAAGCATCAGTACTTGTTTATAGATTCCTTTTGGATACATCATGAATTTTGAGCAATGATCTATGATTTTGCTTAAATCAAAAGTAATCAACGACCAAACTCGGTGTTATTCACGATATGTTGTAAATCAGCGAAGACAATAAAATGTAAACCCATCTGATAGAAAATAGCATGCTCTTCGTAAGCTTATGCATTCGATTCTCTGTCAATGAAGGGCATCACTACTGAGCATCTATTAGTCGCACACTAATTTTTCATAAGTAGAAAATGGCTTTCAGAATAATATAAAACCTGTCCTGTCTCGCAACAATAATGCCGATCAGTTAGAGAGTTAGATCGTTTCTTAATACATAGCGTTCGATGACTTGCAGTTCTGTAACCTCGTGTCTTAACCATTCATCTCTCAGATCACATCACATTTTGAATGATGTTTTTGACAAAACTGAGATTTGCAGGCGATTAAAATGGTGAGTTCTAACTGATTTAATTTCATGGTTATCTGTACGGCCTACATTTTATAAACCAAAAAATGTGATCTTAATAACATTTCAGTTGACTTATTTAGTTGTTTTGAACCAATAAATAGATATTCAACCGTTACTCATCCTTGTAGCTACCGTGAATTGCTTAATTTTGTTTTTAACTTATCCGAAAACAGTTAAACTAATCGGACTCGAATTTTCGCCTTATCAGATGTCTTGTTTTTTTATAACAGGTTGAAGTTAATCCTTTTGGTGAAACAAAGGATGGTCAGATTGTGTGTTTTGACGCTAAATTAGCTTTCGACCAGAATGCAATATACCGCCAAGCAGAAGTTCATAAAATGGCATTGGAAGTTGAAGCTATTGAAGTGGCCGCTGCTGGTCCAAACAGTGTAACAGCTTTGGAAGCAGATGCTACACATAATGGCTTAAATTATATTGGTCTAAATGATGGTAATATTGGTTGCATTGTTAATGGAGCTGGACTGGCTATGGCTACAATGGACTTGATTCATTATCATCATGGTAAACCTGCTAACTTTCTTGATTTGGGGGGAGGTGTTAACGTGTCTCAAGTTGAAAAAGCAATTCACTTACTTGCCAGTAAGTAAATTATGGGGAACCCATTTCATTTTTCATGTCTTTTTATTAAGCTCATTTACAGACAATTTCTATTCCGGTTCTTAGGTCTTGAAATAAATATTATCAATTAAGTAATACAGTTTAGATATCAAATTCATGAGAATGCAATAAACTGTAGCATAAGTTGTATTTATTTCTTAATTATTCAGTCAACTCTCAACAATCCTATAATTTGGACGTACTATCGATCTTTGTTTTCATAACTTATGTATACCAACCTGTGATTTAGAACTTTTCAGCAGTTTAATTTTATAGTTTATAACGTGTATTTTCCTGAGTCTTAATAAATTAACATGAATATTCTTGTTTCAGACTGTAAACTTCTTTTACCATATCATGACTTTCATTCGCATATCTTATTTGATGGAATTATATGACAGGAATATGAGTCGTACTTGTTACTGTAACAGTCTCACTGATTCTCTTTATTTTCATACTTCTAAGCAGATGACAGATTGTTACTAATTGTAGCCTAAGTGCGGTAGTAGTTATTTAAACCATAAAAAATGTTCTATCTCATACAAGTCTTCCAAAACAAAACAAAGCTTAAATTACACATTTAAAATCATCAATTAGTCATTGTTAGACCACTATTAGAAACCTGGAAGCACTGGGCGGCCGTTTCGTCCTGGTATGGGACTCATCAGAAGTGCGCATCCACGACTCCTGCACCTCGCAGGATTCGAACCCGGGACCTTCTATATTGTGTGCGAACACCTAATCATTGGACCACTGGGCCAGCATCCAACGGTGTTAATGTCTAACTCTGATTGATCTAGGGATTTTGCGCGACCTCACCCTTTTGTCTTCGGTAGTTACTGCCTACACCCGACAGGGTTGAACTCCACTGGTCACGTCTTCTCACTAGAACTCCGAGAATTTCCTCACGAAGCTAGTCACTAGTGAGGACATTTTACGATATTTTTAATTAGAGTTATGGAGATTAGTGTTTTTACACATTTGAAATCATCAATCAATCATTGTTAGACTTAAAATAATTATTACAAAACATTAAACCATTACGTAATAAGTGTAGACATAATTAGACAGTGAAGAATGTAAACGGAAAGAGGCAGAGAATTACCAACAAATACAGGATGTTTTTATAATCAAAGTTATAATACTTACTAATCATAACTGGGATCTGTTTACTTTTCTTCGACTTGTGCGTGTAACAAGTTTCGTAGATTTGTTGCAACTATCCTACTATTATCTTTGTAATTTAACATGCTATTTCACCATCCGATTTGATTTTGTTCTGTTGACGATTGTACTTTTCTTCTACTTTATTTGATTTGTTTCATACGTTACTTAGTAAGTATCCATTATCTGTTATAACCACTACATTTTTAGCTTCTACTCTTTATGAAATTTCCTACAACTTTATTCTTATAGATTCACCAGGAGATCACACCTTTTACTTAAGTTTTCCTTCATACACTATGTCATTGGCTAGATATTTTACAAATCGAAGCTCATAGATTTCTGTGCTTTTAGTTTTCGCATATAGTGCTGCCTTATATTTAGACCTTTGATTTTCATTAAATTGGATTCTAATTCCTCATTCTAAATTAGTATACATAATAGTTATTTATCGATTTCTATATTATTTAGTTAGTGTATCATTAAGTTTTAGATCTCTTCAGTTTACCAAATTTTTTTTCGCACGAAAAGGTTGAGTTTTAATTTTATAAAAAATTACCTTCTACCTTATTGAATATTTTTATCTGATTTCTTCCTTTGTAGGAGATTCCCGCATTAATTGCATCCTAGTGAATATATTTGGTGGAATCGTTAACTGTAAAATAATTGCCGAAGGTCTTATATCAGCTTTGAAGAATGGTATGATCAGTATACCAGTTGTTGTCAGGTTGCAGGGTAATAATGCTTTTGAAGCTCAATCTCTACTTTCAAACAGTGGTTTAGAGCTTATTGCTGCCAAAAGCTTGGAAGAAGCGGCGTCAATCGCAGTTAGCAAAGCAGCGTGTACACATCATGATTCGTTGAGTTATGCTTCAGTCGCCTAATCTTATCAGTACATGAATGTCTAACATACAACTCACCTTTTATGACTTCATCTGATCATTTAACATTGTATCTATCTGAAGATGTTATGATCATAATATTACAAGTTACTTTAAGAAGTTAATCAGTCTAAAGTATTCTGAAAGACACCTAAAATTTGAGAATGTATTTGGTGCCTTTCATTACTTTTGTCCTGGCAACTGTATAAATCTTGTCTCCAAAATAAAGATCTGACATCATGATATTGAACAAGCATTTTCATAAGGCTTGTAAACTATCTTTCTCACTCTGTTATTATTGCAAGGGGTAGGCGGGTTTGTTTTACTGCTCAGTCTATTATACTCTCTGTTTACTATCAGTTGTGTAACCAATAATTAGTAAGTCAGCTACAACGTAGAACTTCGTACATGAGTACATAAGTTCAGGTTGCCGTACCGCATCAGCACAAAGACGCAACTGCCAGTTCAAATCCCATTGTGGAAGGGATAGCAGAAGTTTCATTACTTCATCTATTGATCTGCGATTCTTACCTAGCACCCTATTCCTAATAACAGCGTTGCTCACTCGGGTGTCCCAGGATATACGAGCAATGCTTCGAAGACACCTATGATTGAAAACCAGTAACCTACAAATATCATTTACTCTGACTGGCCATGTTTCACAGCCCTGAAGTAAGACGGAGCGAACTACTGCACAATACACTCGTCCTTTAGTCAGCAAACGGATATCTCGCCTTCGCCGTAAGTGACGCAGGTTGGCAAAAGCCAATCGAGTCTTCTGTCTCCGTGCTGAGATTTCGTCAGTCAGCAGGACATCAACAGTGATGAGACTCCCAAGATAAGTGAAGCAGTCTACACGCTCGACTACTTCACTCCCTATCACTAGTTCAGGTGCCGATGCAACCCAGTCTTGAAGCAACATTCTGCATTTCGAGGGTGAGAACCGCATCCCGAACATGCTTGCATTATTGCTTAGGGTAGTCAGAAGACTCTGCATTTTGTTGGCGTCTTCACCGAATAGAACTATGTCATCGGCATATTCTAGGTCAGTAAGTGATTTTCCTGATAGAAAGTCGGAAGAGGATAAGGTTACATCTAGGAGCAAGTCTATGGTAAAATTAAACAAGAATGGGGGAAGTGGACATCCCTGATGGACACCACTTGAAGTAAAGAGTTCCAATGACAGTTCGCCATAAGCTCCCACCCAACCAGTAGTTTTGGAGCAGAAGGCTTGTATAAGGTTAGTGTACTTCTTTGGTACACTTTTCAATGACAGACTGCCACAGAATCTCACGATCCACTGAGTCGAATGCTGCCTCAAGGTCCAGAAGACAACCATTGTAGGACGCCTAAACGTATGTCTGTGTTCCAGGACCTGTCGTAGTGTGAAGATGTGGTCTATACAACCACGTCCATATCGAAAACCAGCCTGGTTTTCTCGAGTCTGCTCTTCACGAGCACTAGTTAGGCGTCTAAGTATAATGGAGGCTAACAATTTAGAAACTATATTAATTAGACTTATTCTCCTGTGATTGTCACAAAAAGACTTTCGTCCTTTCTTATAAACTAGGACAATCAGTGATTGTGTCCAGTTCCCAGATTCTACCTAAGATTTCAGTCAATCTAGCTGCTAAAACTGGACCACCATCCTTAAAAATCTCGGGAGTCAATCTATCAGGTCTTGCTGCTCTCTCCCGCTTCCGATTTTCTGTCGCTTTCTCAACTTCATAAAGGTTCGGATGGCGTAAGCAATAATTGAATTTAATTGTATGCTTTTACAATACTGGGTTGGAATTATCATTCTTTTGACTGCTGTCTTCATCTGTTCGTGGAGAAATTAGCTAATTTTTGTAAATAATTGAGCTAGTTGTTGGAAACAACGAAAGATCACGTTAAAGGAAGGCTGATCTACCGGAAAACAATTGTTTAGTCAGGCTGGTACAATAATGATAATAACGTACTGCTTTGAATTCCTGCGCTCTCTTGTTTCTTCAAACTATCTCAATCGTCTAAGAGGTTTTTCTTTAAGAGTGGGATTTGATCCAATCGAATCAAATAGTTTTAATGGTCGCAAACAGGATGTCAGTTTTATGTAATTGGGTTGCATCTTTTCTTCTTCCGGCGATGAATATCAATGATGTTGACGGTACTGCTTATCGTACAGAGATTGCTTTATTTAGCCTGGAATTTAATCGCCCACTGATAAAACACCATAACAGAAGAAGATAGTTCGTTTGGCTTTCCCTCACTTCCAGTTTGTCTCGATAAATGACCGAGCTTACGGAGCAGCGTTGCGCTCTTCATTACTCTAATTTTAAAACATAACCTACGTTGATGGAGAATATGCGTCGGCTAAAAGTTTAAGGCTGTAAGTATCGTGCAAAAGTCATTAGTTAGGTAGAGTAGATCAGTCGGTAACTTTCAATACGTCATTATCTAAATTAGTCTCAATGAGTTAGTAGGAGACAAACCGAGTCAAGTTATCCGTCAATAAAATCACTGTTGGGATTGCCTGCTTATTGTCAGCGCGTTAATCTGGAGGAAGTCATGAATATTCAGTGTTTGGTAGCGCTTTGTTCTGAAAAGCCTCTCTAAAATAGTATCTCGAATTCAATCAGACAGGAGTCATGGATGAGGGTGATTGAGAGTATATTTGGAGGGTATTTGAGAATTTGTGAAGAATGTGTCCGAAGCTGGCTAATAATCATGAAGTTGTGCCTACTTCTCCAGATCTTTATTTCGGGCAAGTATGATCCATTCGATTTTTTTCCGCTCGATTTTTGTTCCTTCGGTACTGTTCAAGTTATTTGGTTGTGTACTATGGATGGGGGTCTAACCACTCGACTATACTACAACTAGTCGGTAACCAATATTTTGTGAGTTTGTATATCCTGTGATTTGTATGAGTACGTTTGTTGCAGGGTAGTAGGATTTTAGATATCAGCAGCTATCTCGTTACCAGGCCGTAGATCAGTTAGTTGCAAGATTGAAAATAGTAAGGAGAAAATTTTAATGTTAGAATATTTCAGAATTAAGTTAATAAATCGATAATTCAGTCTATTAATTGGAGGTAAAGATTGTGCAAGAAGGTCGAAGTGTAAGCAAGGTAGGGGAAATAGAAATAATAGGGGAGATAGAATAAATAAGGGATCTGAGGAGATGGCAATAATAACAACTAGCAAGTCTCAAGACATGCATCAGGCACAGCTGATTCACGAGGGATATGGTAGTCTGCTTGTGAGTAGGTGTTTGTCAAGTGTCTTCTCAAAGCTGTCGACTGAGGCCACCTTGGATAGAAGAGCATCCCAATTTACGAAGACTCCTGATGAGAAAAAGTGTGCACGAACCTGAGTGTTCAAGCAATTTTCGACGATTACCCCAAGGGGTGTGGTAATGTTTCGGCATGCTGATCATGATGGGATGATTTGGCGTGCCTAATGTGTTTCACCCCATCATCAGGTAACTTCTTGTTCTCCTATAACTCAGAGATAACAATCCTAAGTGCTGGAGTTTATCTTCATAAAGTTTGTTATTCAAAATTATCACCCGTTTCGTTGCTTGTCTCCGCACTCGATCCTAGAGGTTTATGTCGCTCTTAAGGAGAAGCGATGTGACGACGTTGCGAATTTCAAGTTGTGGACGCTGATTTGCCTTGAACAACGCTGAGAATAATCCCGAAGTGAGAGCATCAAGTTGTCTTTACTCAAGGTGAAGAGTTGCATCAGCCTTGGCTAGGTACCTTGTATAGTTCGAACTAAGGTGAGGGATATCAGTGAATATTAAACCTAGATTGCGCTTTCAGGAGACATTAAGGAGCGGACTTCCATGGAGGGGGTAAGTCGTTTGTGTCACGTGGGGCAGAATGTACATAACATGACATTTCGACTAGCTTAGCTTTAGACCGTTTTTCACTGCCAATTCCTCAGTAGATTTTTAATGAATACCAGCACGAGAAGTGGACCTTTAATGGTCCCTAGAGAAACTCGCGATATTGAGACTTGCCAACTTGCATGTACTCTACTTACTTTGATACGAAACTCTGTTCTCCAGGTAGTTCCTGACACAAAGTTGCGGTGAGTCAGTGATTCCCATTACGGTTGTGTGGAGGACTGTGTCGAAGGCTTTTGAAAAGTCAAGAAATATGTGCACCGGTATTCTTCGGTCCCAGTAGTAGGTCCGACTGCTCCATGATACGAGAAGAACTTCATTTCCGAAACCCATGTTGCTCTCCATGCAGTATTTTGTTCTTATCCATGTACTCCCTAAACTGTATGTTCTATTTGCGGACATATTGGACTCCCGTTTCTCTTTGTTGTTCGTTACAGTTTTTTGCTCCAAGAGATAATAAATTAGAAGGTAACTGTAATTATTATAATTATTGTTGTTAGAACGACATTGGTCGTCTATTTGTAATAAATTATTTTGGTCGAATTTGTGATTTGGAATAAACTTTGGTATCTACTTTGGAGTTTCGTTCTTGGTATAGAAATTTGGGACCGTGAATTACAGATAGACGACAACAGTGCTTCATAAGATCAACGAGCAAAAAACTGGACGTAACAACCAGTCCTTCCATTACATTTGATATTATTGGTAGTAATGCAGCTGGTCCGCAAAAGGCTGAGTCCTTCCCATCTCCTCCTTTGGAGATTGAAGAGAGAATAGTTTGTTTCCATTGAGCTGGGAGTTGCTTTGTCTCCAGTGAATGCAAAAACAGGTCACATCAGTGAACTGAGGGCTTCAGAACATTGTTTCAAGATTATACGGAGAATATTTTCGTATCCTGGTGACTTTCCTGGGCGCATGCATTTTAATTTTCTAATTAATATGTCAGGAGTAAGTCGATTACTACCTGGGCCACCACTTTGTTTGAGTAGTAATGTGAATGAGTAATTGATTGGTGGAATTGTTGACAAAGATCTCAGCCATTTCAAGGTTCGTAAGATTTTCATTCGGACCTTTGAGGGAACACAGCCTGGTCTGTATGTTTTCATTTTGTCACGAACCAAAACAGATGCTTAGAGTTTGCCTGTATTTTGGCAGCTAGCTCCACCTGAAAGCGTCTCCTATCACTCCGAACTTTGGCAGTGCATCTGTTTCTGAACGTCAAGTAAGAACTACGTCAGGAAGACCTCTAACTTTTACAAGGCTTTCCTTTCCGTCTGTAACGAGCGTTCAGTTCCTAGTTTATCCGAAGTTCTTCTCTTTTGCGTTTTGTGATGTGGCTTACTTACGTTGTTTAGGACAGCGTTTCTATCACTGTTT